TCGTTCCCCCGGCGGCGATCAGCGTGGCTCCGGTTGTGGGGAGACTGCCTGCAGCCCAGACAGTCTCCCCACACTGAATTAGGACCCCCTGTGGCCATGTGATCGCTCAACAGAGCGATCACATGGTCACAATAGGTGTCCATTTGTCTGCCTGCAGGGGGACTGCCTGTGCTGACAGGCAGTCTCCCTGCATGTGTAAAATCAAAAATAAAAATAAAGTTAGTGTTAATTAAAAAAATAAAAAAATTTATATATGTGTATATATGATATATAGACATATATTATATGTATATAATATATGTCTATATATCATATATATATAATGCCATACTAAGTGTATTTTTATATTAATATGTACTTATATTAATATAAAAATACACTTATAATTAAATTACACACGTGTATATATATAATATATATAATAACTATATATATTGTATATATATATTATTATAAAACATAAATAATAAGTAATTTAAATTAAATAAAAAATTTTTAAAATAATAATAAAAAAATAAAAAAAATTATATCTATATGAAATTTTATTCTAACTGTATTTTAAAATTAATATATATTTATATCAAAATACACTTAGAATGAATTTGTATATATATCTATGTATATAAAAATAAATAAAAATAATAAGAAATATACATATGTCCATATACAAAATTACATAAATAATTATATAAATATACACGTAGACTTCAAATATATAAATATGCATATATATTTAAATTCTACGTGCGTATTTATGTAATAGTTTTACATAATTCAGTAATTTTATTGATTGCAATTTAAGGGACCTGCCTGCCAACCCAGGCCGAAATTCCAGAGAATTGAATTTGCTAGCACTGTATTTTACCCTGTAACGTTCTACGACACCCTAAAACCTGTACATGGGGGGTACTGTTTTACTCGGGAGACTTCGCTGAACACAAATATTAGTGATTCAAAACAGTAAAACATATCACAGCGATGATATTGTCAGTGAAAGTGACTTTTTTTGCATTTTTCACACACAAACAGCACTTTTACTGATGATATTGTTGTGATACGTTTTCCAGTTTTTAAACACTAATATTTGTGTTCAGCAAAGTCTCCTGAGTAAAACAGTATCCCCCATGTACAGGTTTTATAGTATTTTTGAAAGTTACAAGGTCAAATATATGGATCAAATATTTTTACATTGAAAATGGCCAGGTTGGTTACATTGCCTTTGAGAGCGTATGGTAGCCCAGGAATGAGAATTACCCCCATGATGGCATACCATTTGCAAAAGAAGACAACCCAAGGTATTGCAAATGGGGTATGTCCAGTCTTTTTTAGTAACCACTTGGTCACAAACACTGGCCAAAATTAGCGTTCAATTTAGTTTTTTTACTTTTTTCACACACAAACAAATATGAATGCTTACTTTGGCCAGTGTTTTCAACTAAGTGGCTACTAAAAAAGACTGGACATACCCCATATTGAATACCCTGGGTTGTCTACTTTAAAAAAAATATGTACATGTGGGGTGTTATTCAGAGATTTATGACAGATAATAGTGTTACAATGTCACTATTGATAAATTTAAAAAATTTATGTTTTGAAACCGCAATATTCTACTTGTACCTATAGCCCTATAACATGCAAAAAAAAGCAAAAAAGCATGTAAACACGGGGTATTTTTAAACTCAGGACAAAATTTTGAATCTATTTAGCAGTTTTTTTAATTCGCTTTTGTAGATGAGTAAAAGATTTTTCAAGTAAAAGTCAAAAAACATGTATTTTTTTCAATTTTTCATCATATTTTTTTATTTTTTTTAAATTAAAATACATGAGATTATATAAATAATGGTATGTAAAGAAAGCCCCTTTTGTCCTGAAAAACAATATATAATTTGTATGGGAACAGTAAATGAGAGAGCGGAAAATTCCAGCCAAACACAAACACCACAAAAGTGTAAAAATATGCCTGGTCGCAAATGTACAACATCGCAAAAACAGTCCAGTCCTTAAGGGGTTAAAATCGCCTATTTTAGCAAACAAATATGTTGATCAAGTTACACCATTTGGCCATATTGTATTAATCCCACCACTGTGTCACAGTACCCCAGTATTGAGTGGGTTCTACACTAGTCGACATATGGGAGATGAACATGCTAACTACTATTCTTGCTGCTTAAAGGACCATTATAGGCACCAAGACCACTTCAGCTCAATGACATGGTCTGGGTGCAAGGTCCCCCTAGTTTTAACCCTGCCTGCTGTAAACATAGCAGTTTCAGAGAAACTGCTATGTTTACATTGAGGGTTAATCCAGCCACTAGAGACCGCTTCCGCAGTCCACGCTGGACGTCCATAGGAAAGCACTGAGTAATGGTTTGAATGCGTGCTCGGCTCTGGCTGCAAATGCGCATTCGGAGCTGACGTCGGCAGGGGAAGGAGAGGTTGTCGGCGCTGGATTAAGGTAAGTGGCTGAAGGGGTTTTAACCCCTTCAGCCCAGCTGGAGGTGGGGGGACCAAAAAACGCTATAGTGCCAGAAATACAAGAGGGGCACCTATAGTAGATGGTTGGGTGTTCAACACAAAAGGATTCCAAATATACACAGAAAAAAGGGAGATTGGGGGCACACCCAATGCATGTCTCAGAAGTGGCTCGGCCGAGAAAACCAAAATATATACAAAATACAGATTAAAATACAGAGCGCGTACGCACGCGCGAAATACAGTTTTACATTTTACAAGGCTACTTATGTACTCAATACGGTCTAACTGAATCTCCATACGTGGTTGATGAAATAGGGTTTTTTTAAAGCAACACTATAACATTAGGAATACGGAGCTGTGTTCCTAACTCTATATAGGGTTATTTGTTAAAGTGAGAATTCAAGGTGAATTGAATGTGAATTTCAAATTTAAGATCAAAGCCGACTAGATAAATTCTATTAGCCATGCTTTCAGTTCAGCTACTCTGAAATTTGAAATTCACTTTATATGCTCACTTTGCTGGTTAACCCCCCTCATCCCCCGAAACAAAGTAATTAAAAAAAACCTTTTATTGGTTACTTAATTCCAGTGCTGCGGTCACTCGGCGCTGGATTGATCTCCTCCAGCTAGGACACGACTTAGGGGAACCAAATGCGCATTGCACAATGAGCGCCACATGCATTAGAACGTCTCCTAAGGAAAGCATTGTATCAATACTGTCCACACTGGACGTTTTTGTGCAAAGTGTCCTGCATCGTTTCACAGAGTTAAACCGTGAAAATCCAGTGAGCGCCTCTAGTGGTTGTCTGGACGATAGCCAGTCTTATCCCAGCGCTGTAAACACTGCCATTACTCTCAAACGGTAATTATTTACACTGCCGTTTCTCTCAAACGGTAATTATTTACACTGCCGTTTCTCTCAAACGGTAATTATTTACACTGCCGTTTCTCTCAAACCGTAATGATTTACACTGACGTTTCTCACAAACGGTAATGATTTACACTGCTGTTTCTCACAAACGGTAATGATTTACACTGCCGTTTCTCACAAACGGTAATGATTTACACTGCCGTTTCTCACAAACGGTAATGATTTACACTGCCGTTTCTCACAAACGGTAATGATTTACACTGCCGTTTCTCACAAACGGTAATTATTTACACTGCTGGATTAAGGGGACAGGCGCTGCACTCAGACCACTTCAATGAGATAAAATGATCTGGGAGCCTATAGTGTCCCTTTAGTCATCCTGCTAATAGTTAATCTGTATTGTGTACATTGTTTGGTGTTTGTTAAACAGCTCGACTAAGTGTGAGTGATGGAGACATTAGGGGTCCTTGTCCCGGTCAGACTGGAGGGGGCGGGGCTGAGATTACATGGAGGGGGCGGGGAGAGGGACATCAGCACGTGCTCTGTATTGTGAGACCAGCTCGCGGGGGGGCGGGGTTTCTAGATAGCGTTACAGTAGGGGCGGGGTTTAGGAGGCGGATCCCTGGGCGGGGTTTGTCGGGAGAGTGTTCCAATAGGGGCAGGCACCGGGGTATCGGGGCGGAGTTGGTACAGTTACAGCACTGTAGGAGGTAGGTTATGTGGGCGGAGTCAGGAGAGTATTCAGGGGCGGAGTTTGCTAGTGAAGTTCCATTAGGGGGAGTGGTTTGTTAGTGGAGTTCCATTAGGGGGAGTGTTCGGGGGCGGGGTTTTCTCCCGGGAAAGTTCCCGGGTGGGCGGGGTTTAGTAGTACATTCTTGGTATGGGGCGTGGTTTGTTAGTGAAGTTCCATTAGGGGGAGTGTTCGGGGGCGGGGTTTTCTCCCGGGAAAGTTCCCGGGTGGGCGGGGTTTAGTAGTACATTCTTGGTATGGGGCGTGGTTTGTGTCAGGTATTGCGCTGTCCTGTCACAGTTTATACTGTGCTCCCCGCAGCCCCCGTGTCCCCGTTACATCGATCCCCATCCCCCGGTGCCTGTTACACCCCCCCGGTCTCCGGTCCCATCATCCAGTCTGCGGTACTTATTATCCCCCCCCCCCGCTCTCCGGTCCCCATCCCCTGTGTTCCCGGTCCCCATCCCCTGTGTTCCCGGTCCCCATCCCCTGTGTTCCCGGTCCCCATCCCCTGTGTCCCCATCCCCCGCTCTCCGGTCCCCGTTACAGCCCCCGCCTCCGGTCCCCTGCTGCCCCTGCCTGTCCCCATCCCCTGTGTCCCCTGCCTCCGGTCCCCTGTTACACCCCCTGTGTCACCGGTCCCCATCCCCTGTGTCCCCTGCCTCCGGTCCCCGTTACACCCCTGTGTCACCGGTCCCCATCCCCTGTGTCCCCCGCTCTCCGGTCCCCGTTACACCCCCTGTGTCACCGGTCCCCATCCCCTGTGTCCCCCGCTCTCCGGTCCCCGTTACACCCCCTGTGTCACCGGTCCCCATCCCCTGTGTCCCCCGCTCTCCGGTCCCCGTTACACCCCCTGTGTCCCCGGTCCCCATCCCCTGTGTCCCCGGTGTCCGGTGCCCGTTACACCCCCCGGTCCCCGGTGCCATGGCTGCCCTGGCTCGGCCCCCCGCTGCCCGGGCTCCGCTCTCCCCGGACTCCGCTCACAGTCCCGGTCGGGGGGCGGCAGCAGGCGGTGGGGTCCCCGGGGTCCGGCGCAGAGTGCGGCCGCAGAGGACTCACCGACCGACCCCCGATGTCCGCTTCATATTCCAGTGTGAGAAGCCGGGTTACACCGGGCACAACTTCCAGGCCGAGGCCGCTCTGACCGCCTGGTGCGACCTGTGCTGCCACTTCATCTTCCTCGGAGCCCAGCGGTGTGCGGGTAAGACATCCCACTATTTATATACACAGAGCTTATATTATATAGATCAATAAATATATATACACAGAGCTTATATTATATAGATCAATAAATATACACAGAGCTTATATTATATAGATCAATAAATATATACACTATATATACACAGAGCTTATATTATATAGATCAATAAATATATACACTATATATACACAGAGCTTATATTATATAGATCAATAAATATATACACTATATATACACAGAGCTTATATTATATAGATCAATAAATATACACACTATATATACACAGAGCTTATATTATATAGATCAATAAATATATACACTATATATACACAGAGCTTATATTATACAGATCAATAAATATATACACTATATATACACAGAGCTTATATTATATAGATCAATAAATAAATATACACTATATATACACAGAGCTTATATTATACAGATCAATAAATATATACACTATATATACACAGAGCTTATATTATATAGATCAATAAATATACACACTATATATACACAGAGCTTATATTATACAGATCAATAAATATATACACTATATATACACAGAGCTTATATTATATAGATCAATAAATATACACACTATATATACACAGAGCTTATATTATATAGATCAATAAATATATATACACAGAGCTTATATTATATAGATCAATAAATATATATACACAGAGCTTATATTATACAGATCAATAAATAAATATACACTATATATACACAGAGCTTATATTATACAGATCAATAAATATATACACTATATATACACAGAGCTTATATTATATAGATCAATAAATATACACACTATATATACACAGAGCTTATATTATACAGATCAATAAATATATACACTATATATACACAGAGCTTATATTATATAGATCAATAAATATACACACTATATATACACAGAGCTTATTATATAGATCAATAAATATACACACTATATATACACAGAGCTTATATTATATAGATCAATAAATATACACACAGCTATACACAGAGCTTATATTATATAGATCAATAAATAAATATACACTATATATACAAAGAGCTTATATGATATAGATCAATAAATATACACAGAGCTTATATTATATAGATCAATAAATAAATATACACTATATATACACAGAGCTTATATTATATAGATCAATAAATATACACACAGCTATACACAGAGCTTATATTATATAGATCAATAAATATACACACTATATATACACAGAGCTTATATTATATAGATCAATAAATATACACACTATATATACACAGAGCTTATATTATATAGATCAATAAATATACACACAGCTATACACAGAGCTTATATTATATAGATCAATAAATAAATATACACTATATATACACAGAGCTTATATGATATAGATCAATAAATATACACAGAGCTTATATTATATAGATCAATAAATAAATATACACTATATATACACAGAGCTTATATTATATAGATCAATAAATATACACACAGCTATACACAGAGCTTATATTATATAGATCAATAAATATACACACTATATATACACAGAGCTTATATTATACAGATCAATAAATATATACACTATATATACACAGAGCTTATATTTTACAGATCAATAAATATATACACTATATATACACAGAGCTTATATTATACAGATCAATAAATATACACACACATATATATATATATATATACATACACACACACACACACACATACCTTATAGTGATCAATAACTATACACACATAGCTTATACACATTAATAACTGTAGATAGATCAATAAATAATATACAGTACAGATAGATATCAATAAGTAATATACACAGACTCTATATACAAATAACTATTCACACAGACCTTATAATGATCAATATACACACAGAGCTTATAGTAATCAATAACTATACATACAGATCAATAAATAATACACACAGCCCCTATAGACAGATCAATAAATATACGCACAGCGCTTATAGTGATCAATAACTATACACAAAGAGCTTATAGACATCAATAATTATACACATATACCTTATCACATAACTTTACACACAGAGCTTATACACACAGACCTTATAGATAGATCAATAAAATGTATACATACAGCCCCTATAGAAATCAATAAGTAATACACACAAACCCTCTACACATCAATAACTATATACACAGACCTTAGAATGATCCAATAAATATACACACAGTCTCTATAGACAGATTAATACTTATATATACACACAGCACCTATAGACAGATCAATATATATATATATACAGCACCCATATAGATCAATATATATACACACACACACATACATACATGCAGCACCTATAGACATCAATGCATATACAAACGGCAGCTATAGACAAATTAATAAATATACACACAGCCCCTATATACATCAATATACATACAGCCCCTATGGACATCAATAAATATACATAAATAGTCAAACTGAAAAAAATTAATCAAGTCGGCTATATTTGAGTTCAGCTATTTTGCCTGAAATTTGAAATTGGAATTCCCACCAGGTCACACTTTGGTGAATAACTCTGAAAGCATGGGTTATACATCATGACTAGTTGGTAGTAAACGCAAGCATGTGCCTGTAGAGAGTTGGATACTCTCATGGATATTCACTAATATAGCAAAGTATAAAATTGTGTAAACAGTAAAATATGAATTTTGTATGGCTGCAGTGTAGATTTTGAAGTTTGTAAAATGTACCAGTTCTATCAAAGTATGTGAAGCCATTGCGTACACCTTTTATTGTTCAGGTTACAAAAGCTGAGTGTGTAGAGTTTGTGATTGTTCACTAAACGGGACGTTGCATGTAGACGATTGACAGCCTGCATAATTAAGCATAAAACAGTCAAACTGCTAGAACAGTGAAGTTCGGGGAAAAAAAAAAGGTTTTATTTTGACGTACATTTTTCTTGTCAATTCCTTACAGTTCCAACTTAACAATTTTAGTTAATAATCTCTATAGTATTGCAGTAGCTGACCTTATACACCATTTTTGTTGTACATGTCACAGGATCTAGTTTGTGCACACTTTTTGTTGTACATGTCTCAAGATCTAGTTTGCGTACACGTTTTGTTGTACATCTCACAAGATCTAGTTTGCATACACTTTTTTGTTGTAGAGGTCACAGGATCTAGTTTGCATTCACATTTTGTTGTACATGTCACAAAATCTAGTTTGGGTACACTTTTTGTTGTAGAGGTCACAGGATTGAGTTTGTATAAACTTTTTGTTGTATTCATTACAGGATTTAGTTTCTGTACACTTCCTGTTGTGCAGATGACAGGAGCTTGTGATATTTAAAGGAGCAGTCCAATAATTTGTACGTTTCAACTTAATTTGTTTAGTAGCACTTGTTAGTAGCCCCCCTTCCCTTTAGTTTTTTTGTTGTTGTTTAAAAACGATTTCTTTTAGCTAATAATTTACCTTAAATCCAGTGCCAAGTCAGCTTCACTCCTGATCCCTTCCATGCCTCCTGTGTCGTCCTTGCGTGTCATCAAATTTGGCTTGGTGGTCCAATCACAATAGAGGAAGGAAGAAAGTGGGGGCTGCTGGGAAGGATGTGGACCAGGGGGTGAACAAGGGGTGGCAGAAGGGAAAATGGCTATGGAGAGGGATTAGGAATGGACATAGTGACAGAGCTGACATTATGGAGGGAAGGAGACGGGATTGGGGAGGGGTATAATAAGGCAGGCAATAGGAAGTTGTGTATCTGTGTAGTGTGTGTATCTAAAGAAACAAATAAAATGGAGAATACAGCTGCAGATCTACAAATGAAATAAGAAAACAAATGAACAAAATAGTATAACACTGTATGACTTAAATAGTAATAGTAACTTAAAACTGACGCTGGACGTCCTCACGCTCTGCATGAAGACATCCAGCATCACTCAAAACCCCATATAAAAGCATTATAGAATGCTTTGCTATGGGGGAAAATCTAATGAGAGCACGGCTATCGCCACTCGTGTGTGTGTGTGTGTGTTAGGTCCAGCTGACGTTAACAGAGGAGGAGTGGAGCCTGAATCCGCACCGATGGACATCAGCGCTGGAATCAACTTACTGATTTAACCTCTTCAACACCATGTGGGGCTAGAGGGAGGGGAGCACTATAGGGTGCTATAGTGCTAGGAAAATAACTTTTTTTTTTCTAGCAATATAGGTTCCCTTAAAGGGACACTATAGTCACCTGAACAACTTTAGCTTAATGAAGCAGTTTTGGTGTATAGAACATGCCCTGCAGCCTCACTGCTCAATCCTCTGCCATTTAGGAGTTAAATCCCTTTGTTTATGAACCCTAGTCACACCTCCCTGCATGTGACTTGCACAGCCTTCCATAAACACTTCCTGTAAAGAGAGCCCTATTTAGGCTTTCTTTATTTCAAGTTCTGTTTAATTAAGATTTTCTTATCCCCTGCTATGTTAATAGCTTGCTAGACCCTGCAAGAGCCTCCTGTATGTGATTAAAGTTCAATTTAGAGATTGAGATACAATTATTTAAGGTAAATTACATCTGTTTGAAAGTGAAACCAGTTTTTGTTTTTCATGCAGGCTCTGTCAATCATAGCCAGGGGAGGTGTGGCTAGGGCTGCATAAACAGAAACAAAGTGATTGAACTCCTAAATGACAGTGAATTGAGCAGTGAAATTGCAGGGGAATGATCTATACACTAAAACTGCTTTATTTAGCTAAAGTAATTTAGGTGAATATAGTGTTCCTTTAAAGGCATACTGTGCGTGGTACATTACACATCCCCCTCTTTATCCAATCTCATCCAGGTCCTTATTTGGTAACAAATGCAGGGGAATAAATTGAACCAGGTTCAGAGTAAAGATATAACATTGAAAATAAAAGACTTTTTTCTTCTAACAGTGCCCTGTGGATTTACTAGACACAGTGCATTTCTCATCCACATCGTCCTTCCTGGGCCGAGCAATTTTTTTTAATAGGTTTACCTGGCACAGGCACAGAATGAGTGATTTTTTTTTTTGTTTGTTAGACATTCCATTGCATATTACATGATTTGCACTCCACCCAACATGTTACTTTATTGATAGTATAACTCTATTGGTATTTCCTGAAAATATCCCCTGAAAGAGATCATTCAGAGCAGTTAACTAGTATGATACTTTTTAGACATATCGGCTTTCATATCCGCTAAGACAGTTGCAAAAAAAAATTAACTAGATCTTTTTTGGCGGGAGTAATTTGCTATCTTTTTAAATGAACTTCGTAACTCATAACGGATCACACTGCGTTCAAAACGTTGGAATGTGACCGATTACAGGGTGAGAGAAATATTGCCATCGCATATAATTAGAGGTACATTTTTAACTGTATAATCCCTTTGCAATTATCAGTCAACCTTGTCATGAACAAATTAATAATCCTTAGTTATAATACAGTTATAAATCAGAGTTTTATTCTGTTGCGCAACAATGAATTCTGCAATTTGAAATGCACAGTGAAATACTAGACTTATACGATAGACTCTAGACACTGTAAACTTTTTGTCTAATAAAAAAAAGGGAACAAAACATGCCGAGTGGTGTAAATTGATGAAATATGCCGTTTACCCAGCTTCACCTCTGTAGCGTCGGGTGGGTGTTAGTGAGTAAAAGCCTCTTGCTGCTATAAACCGCGAAAACACATCACTTTTTATTTATTTTAATTTTTTTAAAGTCAAATTCACAGACTCTAGAATCCCCTAATCAATTAAAGAAAAACTTATTTTACTCAAAGAGGGAAGCCGTAAGTGAATGGCTGAAGGTAACCAAGGCGAGCTGTTTGCTTCACACTGACTGAATCAATTCTAATGTTGAAAAAATAGCATATATTTTAGAAAGTACATGGCCCCTCAAACCTTGTGATCTTTATTAACTGTCGAATATATTTAGAAAACATTTGATCCATTGGTTCTGACTTTTAGAAGTGTGCTGTTCACAGCATCCATTGTATTGTTTTCCACAAGCAGTTCTGACTCAATTGCTCTTTTGATATGCAATATGTTTTCGATTGTGAAAGGTATTCTGGTGGTATAAAGAGAACAGGTTTGCAGGTGATGCTCAACTAGAACCCAGCAAGGTATATTATACTGCAAAATTTTAAAGTTTTAGTCCAACCATCCTGACCAATTCTGCTTTTAGAAGTGGTCATGTTGGTATGCGTTTCTGCTTGAATCAATGCACATGCAGAGATAATTATGCCAGGGGCTAGTTATACCGCCAGAACACGGATGCAAATGCACTCTGAGCCGGTGAAATGGTCCAATGAAATGCATTTGATTGGATTTCATGAGGAAGGAGTGATGTCACCCAGCGTGTGGAAACGAGGCAAGCAGGACCTCGCCTGGCACTCGATTCAAGGTAAGTTTTAATATTTAATAAGGTTCTAAAATAAAATAAGCGCAGTTGTGCCCAAAAGGGTATAATAAAAAACAAAACTCATTATGGCAAATAAGGTTATAGTAACCCTGTAAACCTTCCTCTACTCTACATAATTTGTATTTTTGTCTTAATTCAGATTGATACATTTCTGGCCTGTGCTGTCAGTGATACATTTGTTTTTCAGTGAATTAATCAATAAGAGTGTGTAATACCCATTGGAGAGGCCTATCCTGGTTGAATGTATTCTGGGGATAATTAGACTTGGCCGAATGTTTTGGACATCTATGGTCATGTGACTATCTGTCACAGCTATCTGTTGCTGTACAAGATGTCTTCATTGGAATACTGCTTTCTGTGTACTTGCAAAGATCAACAGCTAAAATATAGAATTCTGAGTTACGAATGATGTAAAACGGTGTTTTTGAAGATATTTTCCATAATAGAGGTGTTGAATGTGGGCATTGCTTCTGACAGAAAGATAAGTTCATTGATTTAAGAATGGGTTTACAAACACTGATTGAGAATTTGGTTTGTACACTAAACAGGGAATTGCAAAATAATTTAAATTCACTTTGCATTCCCAACAGCTTTTTTCACTTTTAGTGAATAACGATGAGTTAAAGGAACTTTCTAACATTAGAAATACAAGCACTTTCACATAGTATTTTCACTCTAGGCTGTGATCATTGTTTAGAGCAGGGGTCCTCAAACTCCGACCCCCCCAGATGTTGCTGAACTACAACTCCCTTGATTCTCTGGCTATCTATGTAATTCAAAGAATCATGGGAGTTGTAGTTCAGCAACATCTGGGGGCCCGGAGTTTGCTGACCCCTGGTTTAGAGCATATGAGTTCCATACAGGCTTAAAGAGACACTAAAGGCTCCATAACCACTTCAATTAACTGAAATGGTTATGATGCCCCGAAGCCACTAGCATTAATTATGGGACCCTTAGAAACATAGAATGTGACGGCAGATAAGAACCATTCGGCCCATCTAGTCTGCCCAATTTTCTAAATACTTTCATTAGTCCCTAGTCTTATCTTATAGTTAGGATAGCCTTATGCCTATCCCACGCATGCTTAAACTCCTTTACTGTGTTAACCTCTACCACTTGAGCTGGAAGGCTATTCCATGCATCCACTACCCTCTCAGTAAAGTAATACTTCCTGATATTATTTTTAAACCTTTGTCCCTCTAATTTAAGACTATGTCCTCTTGTTGTGGTAGTTTTTCTTCTTTTAAATATAGTCTCCTCCTTTACTGTGTTGATTCCCTTTATATATTTAAATGTTTCTATCATATCCCCCCTGTCTCGTCTTTCCTCCAAGCTATACATGTTAAGATCCTTTAACCTTTCCTGGTAAGTTTTATCCCGCAATCCATGAACCAGTTTAGTAGCCCTTCTCTGAACCCTCTCTAAGGTATCAATATCCTTCTGAAGATACGGTCTCCAGTACTGTGTACAATACTCCAAGTGAGGTCTCACCAGTGTTCTGTACAATGGCATGAGCACTTCCCTCTTTCTACTGCTAATACCTCACCCTATACAACCAAGCATTCTGCTAGCATTTCCTGCTGCTCTATTACATTGTCTGCCTACCTTTAAGTCATCAGAAATAATCACCCCTAAATCCCTTTCCTCATATGTTGAGGTTAGGACTCTATCAAATATTCTGTACTCTGCCCTTGGGTTTTTACGTCCAAGATGCATTATCTTGCACTTATCCACATTAAATGTCAGTTGCCACAATTCTGACCATTTTTCTAGTTTACATAAATCATTTGTCATTTGGCTTATCCCTCCTGGAACATCAACCCTGTTACATATCTTAGTATCATCAGCAAAAAGACATACCTTACCATCAAGACCTTCTGCAATATCACTAATAAAAATATTAAAGAGAATGGGTCCAAGTACAGATCCCTGAGGTACCCCACTGGTGACAAGTCCAAGCTTCAAATATATTCCATTAACTACAACCCTCTGTTGCCTGTCACTCAGCCACTGCCTTACCCATTCAACAATATTTGAATCCAAACTTAAAGATTGCAGTTTATTGATAAGCCTTCTATGTGCAACAGTGTCAAAAGCCTTACTGAAATCTAGGTAAGCAATGTCTACTGCACCACCCTGATCTATAATTTTAGTTACCCAATCAAAAAATCAATAAGATTAGTTTGGCATGATCTCCCTGAAGTAAACCCATGTTGTCTCTGATCTTGAAATCCATGTGTTTTTAGATGTTCATCAATCCTATCCTTTAACATGGTTTCCATCACTTTCCCCACTACTGAAGTAAGGCTTACTGGCCTATAGTTGCCCGACTCCTCCCTATTACCTTTCCTGTAAATAGGCACAACATTCGCTAACTTCCAATCTTCTGGGACTACTCCTGTTAACAATGATTGGTTAAATAAATGTGTTAATGGTTTTGCTAGTACACTGGACACTGCACTGGTAATCTTCTGCCAGGATGCCGACGTGCTGTGGTTGCTATGGCATTGCCAGAGAGCCGGGGAGTGCCTGTTGAAGGTCTCTCCTGTGAGTCAGTACTTTGATATTTAGGTTTATGCTGAAGAATGAAATGACCAGATGGGAGGTAGACCTATTTTTAAATACATTTTTCTCTCAATCTATACCTTTGCACAATGTATAGATGGAATGCATGCTCTTAAAAATGAACACAAGATGTGTGTACCATAACTGGTACACTGTAACACTGAACCATGAGCTAGAGTCAGGGAACTCTAGATACCATAACCACATTAATTAGATGAAGTGGTTATGGTGTCTACAGTGTCCCTTTAAGAATTTTGCTTTTCTGCTACAGGAGTTAAAAATGTTTTCTTTTTACAATAACAATACATTTTCCACTGGTTGTTAATGGTGGTAGAATGCATACATTCCTTTTGTAAATGTAGAATAATTGTCCTATTGTGCTTTACTACTAACTAACCTCACTGAGCTATATAAACATAAGTTTATCTTTACGCCATAGTTTAGATTTCTGCTTTTTTCTGCATTCTTCTATTATTCTCCTGAGAATTGAATGGAAAGTGGTTTATCCTATATCACATTTTTACCACGTTTTTTTTGTTGTTCCTCCCATTGAAGCAAAGCTGTTAGCCGGAATCAGATCTAATGACTCATATCAAGTTCCCTTTCTGCTATGAGGTTATTCAATAAACAAGGAATTGTCGGGAATGGTCCAGAGAACTTTTCCAGTGTCCAAAGTTCTATCTGCAACACCAACCTATGGGTATTGCCTGTAAAACCAGCAAGGTGCTCTGTGTATGTAGTGCCTTTTCATCCCAAGAAAAGGGGGGCATAAAATGAAAAATGTGCCCTGAAAGATTATTACAGCGATTATTACAGGGCTAGGAACAAATTTATAAATGCCAAATCCATTCAATTCAACAATCCTGTCTATGTACCATATGCACATAACACCTTATTTTCAAAATCCATTATATTGAGTAAGGTATGTATTTACCAATGTTGTCTCTGTACTTCTGTTAGCTTTTAGTCCACAGAAATAAATCAATTACTATCTGCTCAAAACATGGGATGTAGAATCCAGGACTGACTAAAACCTAGATTCTCAGCTGGAACCCCAGAATTATAACACCCACAATGCTTTGCCACCAGTCTGCTTTGCAGAGCGTCTCAAACAGCTGTCACTAACCCTTTGATATATGTATTAAAATTCATACTGACTAAATATAATATAGGATAGGCTCTAAAAAAGGATTTGCCAAAAGTTACATCAGTTACACAGCTGTCTGCAATTCCAATCGCAATTACTCACTACAAGAGATTGATTTTGGCATAAAGTCAGATTATGGCACCTTCTTATTCAGGGTGAGAGCCTTAAAGGACCACTATAGTGCCAGGAAAACATACTCGTTTTCCTGGCACTATAGTGCCCTGAGGGTGCCCCCACCCTCAGGGACCCCCTCCCGCCCGGCTCTGGAAGGGGGAAAGGAGTAATAACTTACCTTTTTCCAGCGCTGGGTGGAGAGCTCTCCTCCTCCTCTCCGCCTCCGACGCCCGCCGGCTGAATGCGCACGCGGCAAGAGCTGCGCGCGCATTCAGCCGTCGCATAGGAATTTACAATGCTTTCCTATGGACGCTGCTCTCACTGTGAAAATCACAGTGAGAAGCAAGCGCCTAGTGGCTGTCAATGAGACAGCTACTAGAGGATTAGGGGGAAGGCTTAACCCATTCATAATTATAGCAGTTTCTCTGAAACTGCTATAATTATGAAAAAATGGGTTAACCCTAGAAGGACCTGGCACCCAGACCACTTCATTAAGCTGAAGTGGTCTGGGTGCCTAGAGTGGTCCTTTAAAGTGCATTGTACCTGAATCTAAAATAAAATCTTTATGAAATACTCATACTGACTGTGTTGGCATGTCACTGGATTTCCAACCAAGTCAAAAGTTACACTGAGACAACATAGGAACTATTTTGTCTCAGTATATTTCCTGCGCCTTACACTTGAAGGCTGCAGAGATATTAGCTGTGTCTATGGAGGGTCTCAACAGTCCTCAGTGCTGTACTGTAGCACATGCACGATAGTACAGCAGTCATGTCAGCTCCTGGCAAGGAGCAAAATGGCGGCACCCACGAGGGACTAGTTCATGTAACTAAACCTCACTTTTCCCTCGGGCCACCAGCGCAATGTCACCTTCAGGGGTGTTTGCAAACTATGCAAAGTCCCCAGGCGGCGACAGTTCTGCTTTAAGGCTTGATTGAGAATAATGCCAAAACTTAATTGCTAATTTATATGACATAAACTAATTGCTAATTTTGGAATTCATTCATCAAACTTTGTGAGCGCTAGAAAAACTGAACAATAAGATTGGGTCCCCTTAAAAAGAGTGCCTGATCTACAGAGGGACCTTTTGAGACATGTGTTTGGTCTCTGTGTTACTGGGCAACTGTTTATTGTCCCTAAACAGAAAAGTTGGTCTCTAATTATACAATGTATCATTTAAAAAGCTGAGGATTCTAGAATATATTAAATGCTTTTTTATTATTATTATTATTATAGAAATACATTTAATGTGGATTTATTGCAGGGTTGAGTAAACATAAAACATGAATTTGATTTGCACCTTAGCTATAAAAATACATAGACATGAACAGTGCAGAACAAAGGTATTATTTAAGAAGCAGGAGTAGCACACATCTGCCCAAAGCAACTAAACCGGTTTTAAGCAAACATGTGCTCACATACTTGAAATAATAGAAACTGCAAAATAATATCTTTTAAATATGTCACATGTGAACCTGAAAAATGAAAACAATCCTATAATATTCTGTTAAAGCACATCTTCTTTTCCTTTGGGCTGACCAATAGGGGTAACAAGGGCCATATGAAGATATTGTAGCGGGGTAGATATCCACGATATCTCCACTGGTAGTCGTAGTCCGCATACAAATCTAAGGTAGCCTAATAATCCCAATCCCATTTCCCAACAACTGGACGACACACAGTTTGGGAGTCAACTGAGCTTTTATTGAACCACAGACGGTTTTATACAAATCCCCATGCAAGGGGTTTCCTTAGTGACATTCCAGGGGTTTTCCCCTGGTGGACTGTGTGGAAAGCTTTGTGTACAATAACATTTCCCATCATCCTTTTCTGTATTGGAGAAATAATTGCGTAAGAGTGCACCTTTAATTACATTATCTCTCCGTACAGAAAATCACACAATATTGTTTAAAAATACATAATTCGTAAAATATCTATCTGAATTTCATGAATTCCCTTCACTGAATAGCTGGGATCTCAGCGCATAATCTGTCAAATTACCGCTCAGATCCGTTTGTTGGATTAGAAAAGCCATTCGAATGAAGTTCTGGACCGTCTGCCACGAGACGCAGGCCCCAAAATAGTGCCAGGCAATTGCAGGCTTTGACCGGTCTTCTTTCGGGAGTTCATTTGAATTAGCGAATGAAAATACACATTAATATACTGCATAGTTGTGTGTAGGAAGGTCGTGGGTTTCAAATAGCCTTTTAGACGAACGGGTCTATCTGCACGAATGGCATGGAAGTCCAGCGGTGTTCGCGAGGTCGAGTAGCCGATTTTAGTTCCATTCACTCGACGACCAAACACCGCTGGGCATTCGTGCGCAAAGATGGCCGCCGCAACGTGTTCGTTCATACGAATGACGACCACCCATTAAACCATTAGGGTTTTGCGGTTTTCACTATGTTGCCAGTTGTTAATTGGAGACACACGACTCCCTTGTGTGGTCCTCCATTCGGCAGTTTATTCATTTTTACGAACAGTACATCCTTATTCTGTTCGTGAAGTTAACATACGAATGCACATAGTTTTTACACGGGAGAAATAGAAGAATAAACCCAGTTCTTGCACAATGAAGTGGCTAGGTTTGCCACAGATATCCCCCCAGGTATGATAATGGAATAATGGGGGGAAACACTACATTGAGAACAGGCCTGAGTCAGGAACAAGCCAGATCGGCAATAGTATCAAACAGGAATGTATAAGGCTATACCAGGTTATCAACTGGTTGGCCAGACTGCAAAGGAAAATTCATCCTGCAGGCGCCACACAATTTAAAGGGACGCTCTAGACCCCTAAATGCACTTTAGCTTGCTGTATTGCAAGCATGTCAAACTCAAAGTCTAGCATTGGCCAAATAAACAAGGTTTAAATTTATGTCGGACGAAAACCCCCCACAGAAAAAATTAAATATTCATAGAAACGTAGGTTTATTTTGAAAAGCACAGTATAAAAACAACAACAACATACCCCTCTACTACACCCTGTTCCAAATTATTATGCAAATTATATTTTTCTCATTTACCTAAATAATTGATGTAAATAACAGTCAGCATAATTCTCATGTTATCAATTAACAGTATTTTTTTTAAACATAAAAAACTTACAATGCACTGTTCCAAATTATTACGCACAGTAAGTTTCAAAACACTTTATAGGTTGTAAAGAACTGAAAATTGTAATTTGTTGTGTTTGCAGCATATTTACTGAATCAAAAGCTATTTCAATCAAACTTATAACAACATTTTAACTTTTTAAACATTTTAACAGGTCACATTACATTTTAACATAGGACCCCTTATTTGATAGCAGCTTCACAAGTCTTGCATGCATTGAACTTGTGTGTTTTCTGGACAGTTTCTGCTTGAATTTGTTTGCAAGATGTCAGAATAGCCTCTCAGAGCTGCTGTTTGGATGTAAACTGCCTCCCACCCTCATAGATCTTTTGCTTGAGGATGCTCCAAAGCTTCTCAATAGGATTGAGGTCAGGGGAGGATGGAGGCCACATCATGACTTTCTCTCCATTTATCCCCATAGCAGCCATTGATGCAGAGGTATTCTTTGCAGTATGAGATGGTGCATTGTCATGCATGAAGATGATTTTATTACGGAAAGCATAGTTCTTCCTTCTGTACCAGGGAAGAAAGTTGTCAGTCAGAAACTCCACATACTTTGCAGAGGTCATCTTTACACCTTCGGGGACCCTAAAGGGGTCCAGCTCTCTTCCCATGATTCCGGCCCAAAACACGACTCCACCACCGCCTTGCTGACGTCGCAGCCTTGTTGGAACAGGGTGGCCGTCCACCAACCATCCACTACTGGACCATCTGGACCATCCAGGGTTGCACGGCACTCATCAGTGAACAGGACTTCATGTACAAGTCTTCATGTATTTTTCTGCCCAATGCAGCCGTTTCTGTTTGTGAGCATTGGTTAGTGGTGGCCGAATAGAAGGTTTATGCACAGTTGCAAGACTCTGGGGGACTCTACACCTTGATCTCCGTGGGACTCCAGAGGCACCAGCAGCTTCAAATATCTTTTTGGCGCTATGTAATAGTATTTTAGCAGCTGCTCTCTTGATCCGATGCATGGATCTGGCATAAATCTTCCTCAATGTTCCTTATCTGCACAAACCCATCTGTGCTCTGAATCAGCCACATATCTCTTAATAGTGCGATGATCATGCTTAAGTTTTCGTGAAATATCTAATGTTTTCATGCCTCGTCCAAGGCATTGAACTATTTCACTCTTTTCGGCAGCAGAGAGATCCTTTTTCTTCCCCATATTGCATGAAAATGGTGCTTTGCTTAATAATGTGGAACACCCTCCTTTAGTAGTTTTTCCTTAAATTGGGCTCACCTGGCAATCTAATTATCACAGTTGTCCGAGATTGTTTTCAGTGTTCAAAGGAGCCCTGAGACACAATGCCATCCATGAGTTAAACTGAAAAACAAAATATTTTTTTTTTTTTTTTTAATTCTTTATTTTTGTGGGTATACGAGAGTTAAACACGTAGTACATTATATGCAAAACGAAAGTGAAATAACATGTACAAAAATACATTTAAGATAGTCTTCATATAACATTCGTATCTGCATAGAAACTTTGCAACCCAATTTTTTTTATAGGTAAAGCCCTGCGTATCTCCCTCGTGTTAGTGGCTACTAAGGCGTATGGCTACCCTGAGGGGCTAGTGTACAGCTTTATGTGCTCTGCTTAGGAATGTTGGGGCTGTAGGCGCAGCCTGGGCACTTGTATTATTAGGTGAGGGAGTGTGGTTATGATGGCCGTTGGCCGTTGATAGGAATGGTGCAGGACCTCGCAAGTCTCCCAGTAGGGCGCTTGTACCCAGAGTGTCGGGCCTCTGCATTTGCTGTGTGTTAGGGGAGGGGGAGGTCTGCTTAACCAAGATCAGTGGGAGTCTGCTTACGGAGCCAGAGATTTAGATATATCTGTTGCCTTGTATTCTTCATAAACTTAAAAACAAACAAAAAATAAACTTTTAAGACCTTAGAGAACTTAAGAAACTGGTGAGCGAAAAGACTAGGTAAGTATAGCATATGAAAGATGTCCAATTTATAGTCCTGCAGTAAGGGACCTATCAGACATTTCACAGGTGCACTTGCATGTGCGGTCGCATTTCTCATGTTAAAGGGTCCGTCGTCTTCGGCTCAGTTCTTCTGGGCACAAAGGGAGTGATATCGTCGACATTCCACGCAGGGTTGGCCCTTGTCGCTGCCGTAGGAAGCGAGAGTCCCAGTAACTGGAGAAACTTAGGCGCTTCAGATATGTGTGTCAAGTGGGCCGTCTTACCGGCTTGCTCTACGGTTAAACGATGAGGGCCCCATTTATAGGGGATAGAGTTCTCGCCCAGTAGCAAGGTGATGTGGCGGAGAGACCTGCGCCAGGTGAGAGTGTGCTTTGAGAAGTCTCTGTATAGGGTCAAACTTGCTCCCTCAAACATGATGGTGGGAGAGCCTCTCGCGGCTCCCATGAGAGCCCCCCGGTCCGAGTCCCGGACAAATTTAATTAACACATCCCTCGGTGCTTCTTGGGGCGCTTTGAGTGCCTTGGGGAGGCGAAAGCAGGTGTCGATCCCTATCTGCTTCGCTTGTTTGGGAGTCAGTAAGGTTGCCACCAGCCTCCTACAATAGTGTGGTAGTTCCAGGTTTCCCGCCGATTCCGGCACTCCCCGGATTCGCAGGTTTCGGGCTCTAGTTTTGTCTTCCATGCCCGCTAATTGAGCGGTCAGCGCCGCACATTGTTTTTGCAACTGTCCCAGGGCAGCGTCTGTCGCCGCTTGTGCTACTCTCGCGCCCCCGAGGGACTCTTCAACGGAAACCACCCGGCCTGCAAGTGTGGAGACCTCCCCTCGGACAAGTGCCATGTCGGCATCAAACATCGCTTTGATGTTTACCATCAGTGCCTTGATGTCGGCCTTCGTGGCGGATGCTGCGTCGTCCAATTCTTTAGGCTGCTGGGGTGCAATATGCACCTTGTTGGGAACATGGAAGGAATCGAGTGCGCTGTCATCGTCGGATGACTGTGTGTCGAAGGCCTCTATCGGCGCCATCTTGCCAGGTACGTGCAGCTGCGTAGGGCGCATAAAAGTGCCTATATCTTTGGATCCCGAGCCAGGATCTGCTCTGCACTTCTTCGTTTTCTTCCCCATAGTGTGGAGTGTCTTGGGGATCTGTTTGTCGGGTCCCCGAGGCGGTTTTTGTCGCTTGGATATCCCTTTTCTGGGTCTCACGCTCGGAGCTGTGGTGAGTTGCGACTTGCTCGTTTAGGCGCTGGCTCCGCCCCCCCGAAAAACAAAATATTTAATCTTTGTGACACTTAAATAGAATTTGCATAATCATATGGAACAGGGTGTAAATCACAGCATCCCCCTCTACTAAATCCCAGTCATCCCCCTATACTAAATCTCAGCCCCTCCCCCCCTCTACTAAATCCCAGCACCCCCCTCTATTCAACAAGCAGACTCTACTCACATTGCCGCTGCCAGTATGCGACTCCGGAGTCCAGCCTCTGGTATACCCCAAATGGCGCTGTCCGCACCCAGTGCCATAGCGAATCCTCCTTTTACTTCTTGAAACCCTGTGAAGGTGGAGCACGTCGACGTCATGTTGGAATGTGACGTGGCATTGCATGCCTCCAGGTCCTCCCCTGTGCAGCCGCGGACTAACCGACAGACACACACATTCACTGACATACACTGACAAACACACACACACACACACTCACTGACAGACACACTCACTCACTCACTGATAGACAGACACACACACACACATTTAAACATTCTTGCACACACTCACATTATTCCCGGGGGTCCAGTAGGGATCTTCTATCTGGAGATCTTCTTGCTCTTCACTGCTCCCTCGCACAGAGTTTAGTGATGCCGAAATTATGTCATATTCCGGTACCCGGCATCACTACAGGCGGCGCGCGACTGAGCAGTGAGAAGTAGGAAGACTGAGCTCCTCCAGCGACCTCTCAGAGTCCTGGACAGGTAAATTTTAGTAGAGTAGGCACCTGCAATGTACTAAGCGTGTACTCGCTGCTCGGAGGGCCGCAAAGATGTTCATTGTGGGCCGTGAGTTTGACATGCTTGCTGTAATGCTTTATGTTTTTTTGTTGTTTTTGTTTTTTTACATAAAGTGCAGACTTTAACAGAATTTGGCTCTTTAAAAATTAAAGGGACACTATAGGCATCTCATTAAAGAGGTCTGGGGGCGGTGTCCCTGTTCCACTTAGTCCTGCCATGTAAATCATTGCAGTTTAAAAAACAAACAAAAAAAAAAACACTGGACGTCCCCACGCTCTGCTAGTGATAGTGAACAAAAGAAATGGAATGTTGAATTCTTTATAGATATCTGCTGTAATTGTTGCATTGAAAGACTAATACATTGTAAAGGGCAAGTGCAAAAAACGTGAATAGAGACCCCCTAATTTGTAGCCCATGGTGTCTTACTATTTATTTTCTCAGTGAAAGAATTGATGACTTTCTAATGTAGAATCATTGATCCATGGCTCGCCCTCTGTTACTATTTGAAATATGTGTTTGATTCAGGCTAGAAAGGCTGTCATACACACGCAGCAAAGCAGAGAAATATGTGCTGGATATTTTTGCAAGTCTGCTTGTGCCTCCATTTTTTGGTGAGTCTTTATGGTTTTATTTGTGTTTGCTATGAATTTCACTGGATTGTGCATCAAATAAACCAGCACTTTCTATGGAGAACTCCATGTGACATTGCAACTTCAGAGTGAGTTTGGTTTGCCTGCCATTTGTAGTTTGTATTTGCTCTCCTGATTTGGAAAAGCTGAAAAGTGAGACATGACCTCATACTCTAGTCCTTCAAAAAGACACTCCACTTCCCAAATCCATTAAAAAATAAATAAATAAATACGGATCACGGTTTACTAGATATACCCCAAATGCAAACATGCATGCATTTAATTATGCATTTTTTCATTGGAGGTATATCTATAAGCAGCTTATAAAAGCTGCAGATCTCTTATCTGCAGCATTTGCAAACCTTCCTCCTTCTAACATCGTCCAGACTTTCTGTGGCTGTCCAATCACAGACTTCCCAATGCAGCTCAATGAGAAGTCTTTGCAAAGGCAGATGCTCTGAGCAATTGCTGCATCCTGAGTTTAGCTCTACTGAGCTAAACAACCAGGAAGTAACCGGACCGATTGTCTGATTGTCAGTCAGGGGGTGTAACAAGGTACATTTTTTTAAAAGTGCCAATTTCTATTAAAATGTGCACTTTTTGTGAAATGATTACTTAATATTCACACATGAAGCTTTTCAGCAAGCTGAATTGAATTCAAAATGTCCCTTTTAGGTGTTTGTTTTATTGTTATATTCGTTTACACTGAGGTTACATAGACGACTACGTCCATTGGGAAATGTCCCCTGTATCAACCTGCTCATGCTGACCTGGCTGTCTGAAAATGCAGATTTATATATTTTATTTTCATCTTTTTGCTGAGTGTAGTAGTTTTAATGTTGTAAAATGCATTTTCATATGTAGTCCTACTTTCTGTATCAGCACTTCTTATACACAAATAATTCTCTGCTTGGAATTGTGGGAATTTTTTAACTTCTAATCCTATATGCTTCAAGTAATTTTTTTTACTTTACCTACGTGAATTTGTAGTAATTTGGCCTACTAATATTTTGTATGTTTGTGTGAGCCTGAAAATGTTTAAAAAGCCATGGAACCCGAAAAATGTATTCATTGAATTATTCATTATATCAATCAGCTACCAGCAGTGTGCACTAAATAGCTGATGTTTTAGACATATATAGATTTAAAAACATTTAAACAAGTGTTAATCATACAAGGTATGCATGCTGAAATCCGTAAAAAAAATTATGTTTAGCTTTGAGCAGAGGAGGAATAGGAGCTACATGATACAAACTTGTAGAAGTGAAATATTCTGTAGAAAGAGTAAAAAAAACAAAAGCTCATAATCTGGTACTGAGACCTAAAAATATGTGGGCACTTTTTGTTGAAAGTGGTAGTATTGTGATAACCAACCTACAGAATGTACCTACCCGATCAACATGCTGTTCTGGCACCTCTGATCATGTCGATCAGGAGGCCATGGCTTCCGGACACGCTCCTACAGTTCTGTCTACACCTCCGAGGATTCCATTTTGGTTTCCGCGTTCTTATTTCGTTTATTCTGATTTCCTTGTATTGACCATGGCTTGTAAATACAAGGTCTATGTTTTTCTATATTCCTGACCTTGGCTTGTCTACTCGATTCTCCGTACCTCGGTTTATTACCGTTTACGAATATTCTCCATACCTTGCGTTCAGCTCGGCCATTCTAAGGACCTGTAATACACTTTATACTTTGTTTAACTATTGATCCAAGTGCTGCGTGTTGGGGTATTGGTTCCTGACACAAGCTAAGTTAAAGAAGGCCTGCATTGGACACATTGTTTTCCTAAATATTAATAAAACATCAAGAATAAACCATGCGATTTTATATTGGAATTTGGCAGACTATATCAATAAAGCTCACCTCTTGTTCTCTAAATGGATTGAATGAAGTCATTAAACATGAAGGATTTTAGGACAATTGGAGCGTGACTACAGCAAACATTGTTATTCAGCAGCTGCACAGGTGTGTAAGGTGTTTCATTATATAATAAAAAAAGGTTTTTACTAGACTGATGAAAATCTAGTTTTTTTCCTTTCTTATATAAAAATTATCTTACTTTTCATATACAGTGCTAGGTTTAATTAAGAATAATAAGATTATAAGAGGAATGGAAGATCTTGGTTATGGAGAAAGGCTAGAAACATTCTGTCACAGACGGGATTTGATAAAATATTACAAATATATATTGGAATGAGACAAGCAACTGACTATACAGGGAGCTATCAATATTTGAGAAAAGGAGATTTTCAGTAAAAAAGATCACAGCAAAACCTTTACAATTCTTTTTTTAGTTCATTAGATGTAGTTTAAAATGAGCAAGATTTAAAAAAATAAAAAATCATTCAGTCGTTTAAATCATCAACAAACGGTTCATGTGAAAATTTGAACTTGATGGAGTGAGGCTTTTTTTTCCAGCCTGAATTTCTATGTTAAAATGGGTCAGTTTGCTGTTCTATACTGTCAAAATCTATGTTTCTATGATAAATAAAATATGTGAAATATATATTATTTACAGTAATCATTGCCTGTCACTAGACAGCCATTGCTTTTGTAAACAGAACCATTATAAGTGGAGTATCTACATTCTAAACACCAGTACAGAACGGAAATAGTTCTTGTTGCTATGTGGAAATTAGCTGTTGCCATGGGAATATGAGGTTTGTATGTATTGCGCTAGTTAGTGGAGTAATCCAATTACAAAAAAATAAAAAGAAGATATGAAATGAAAGAAGAAACCTTTCTTTGTATATGTGTCTGATAAACATAAGAACAGCTATTTCTTTGCAGATACTAATTTTAGTTTTTCTCCTAAAAGCAAAGCAAAATTTTTATAAATATTATGAGAGCTATGATTAAAGTACAAGAAAGCGGTTTGCGCACTATAACCACTACAGTTCACTATAGTCGTTATGATGTTGTAAGGCAATGTGTGCCATTCACCTGGTTTATATTAAAACTGTTTTGGAGCTTTTTCGTTTAATCGATGGCTCTCTCTTACACTCAAAACCAGCCCCTCTGTAGCTGCTCACATAATGGGATTTTTTTGCATTATACATTAAAAAAATTAAAACTGTTCAAATTTGGATGGAATTGATAGGATGAGAAGTTGGATGGGTAATGTCTTAAACATTTGGATGACCCTCCTTTTTTTGCAAATCTACAGGCTTTATTAGTCAGGAATATGTCAGAATGGAGAACTCTCAACCAGTCATTATTATTATTAAAGGTTTGTTGTTAACCTTGCGATATTGGCCTATTGAGCTCAACACGAAGAAATGGTGAAATCAAGATTGAAAGTTTTCTGACTTTGGCAGCATTACCGGTAGGAAAAAAAAAAAAAAGTAAAACTGGGATGGTGATTACTTTGACAACTATTAGACTGGCCAAAAGTCCTCAACCATTAGCGATCAGTTACCCACGCTATAATGTTTAAGGGAATTTTCTGAACTGCTTGGCAGGAAACATTAGAGATGTGGAGAATCCCTTAAATTTTCATTAGAGACAGGAAGATCTAGACAGTGGGGAACTGGCAGCATTAACAGCAAATAATGGTCTGCAGAACTACTTTTTGAAGTAAAGACAAAACAGGAGAACAGAAGCTGAGAACACTCATATAGCGGTTAACCCAAGGACTAGGAACATAGTGAAAAAACAAAAAATTAGTGCCCTAAATACATTTTAAAAATTAACATTTAATAGTAATCCTTAAAGGGACACTATAGTCACCTGAACAACTTTAGCTTAATGAAGCAGTTTTGGTGTATAGAACATGCCCTTGCAGCCTCACTGCTCAATCCTCTGCCATTTAGGAGTTAAATCCCTTTGTTTATGAACCCCAGTCACACCTTCCTGCATATGACTTGCACAGCCTTCCATAAACACTTCCTGTAAAGAGAGCCCTATTTAGGCTTTCTTTATTGCAAGTTCTGTTTAATTAAGATTTTCTTATCCCCTGCTATGTTAATAGCTTGCTAGACCCTGCAAGAGCCTCCTGTATGTGATTAAAGTTCAATTTAGAGATTGAGATACAATTATTTAAGGTAAATTACATCTGTTTGAAAGTGAAACCAGTTTTTTCTTCATGCAGGCTCTGTCAATCATAGCCAGGGGAGGTGTGGCTAGGGCTGCATAAACAGAAACAAAGTGATTTAACTCCTAAATGACAGTGAATTGAGCAGTGAAATTGCAGGGGAATGATCTATACACTAAAACTGCTTTATTTAGCTAAAGTAATTTAGGTGACTATAGTGTTCCTTTAAAATCAATAAATCATATCTGTGATGTGGATAGTGCTCAAATAATTAGAACTAAGGTGTATATACACAAACAGAATAGAGAAGGTCCAGTACAAAGGTATCCAGAGACCTAAGTTAGTGGTGTATGCAAGAACCTATTTTGCAACCCACTAAAACCAGGAAATTGACGTTGGCTTCAAGATAAATGAGCTAGGATTTAAGCAATCTAATAGATCAAAATACATAAATAATGAACAACTGAAGTATTTACAAATATGTTCCGATAAACAACAGAAGTATATACAGGTATTGAAGGTCCTGTTGATAAATTACCAGAGACCTTAATTAGTGCAAAGCAAAATTCTGCAATCCACAGAGGCTGTATAGAGTGGCTTAAACAATATAAACTGGTAAATCAATATCTCTATACACGGTGGATGAACGAAATAGTATCAAAAAGGCTTGTAACAATAAAACAAAACTTCGATCTGAGAAAAAGAGTTTTGAAAATGCTGTTCTAGTAAGTATCCAGACAGTCTAATAAAAGGTCCTGTTCACAAGTTTTCAGAAACCTTTTCTTAGTGGTGTGTGCAAAACATAGTTTTGCAATTCACAATTACAGCATTAGATTTACACTTATAACTGATCAGCATGTTTGCGTACAGCAATTATATTCAAAAATGTATATTTGTCTAGTGCTTACAGATAGATCAAGTATCTTTTAGATCGGTATGTGATAAGTCGAAAATAAGCACTCAAGAGGTAGCCTCCGTAGATATAGAATACTACTCCGCTGTTAAACAAGGGGGGGTAAGAGAACTATTACCTCTCAGCTAAAACGTTCTTGCTATCTGGTGAAATAATTGGATGCATAATTGTAGGTACTCATGTCCCAGTTGCCCCAATGAAAAAAACGATTAACAGCGGCAGTAGACTTGGCTCGGGATCTGAAACACGAAAAAATATACAAAGTCTTAATCACATTAAAATAAAATAGATATTAATATAGCGTGTCAAATCTCCGATGGCCCCTGACGCGCGAGTTTCGCCCACAGCTCATCAGAGGGGAACCGATGTGCGGGAAAACGCCGAAATTATAAAGGTAAGTAGCAATTCTAATTGGTTTAATTAAAAAATGGTAATCATTGTACTAGCCAATAAGGATCATAATAGTAGATGACATCATAGATTGCCGAAGTTAAAGCATGAAAACATTGCAAAGGGATTTTAACCCTTCAAAGCCCAAAATGATGAGCGACTGTAAACAAAAAACATAATCCAAAATAAAACATAAGAATATTTATGCATAATGTTAATGTTGGTAATAAGAAAATAAAATAAAGAAAAAAGTTACGAACTCTTAGACTTGCTATATCGCAGATGTTACATTTGGGTGCTTGAAGGGATATTTAACCAAGCATCCTTAATGTGCTATTATTCATAATGTACTGTTTGTTCATAATAAGTCTAAAATAAAGATATAGCCATGATAGTTTAATCCCTGGTAATAAGGGATAATAAATACATCAAAAGAAGATATCCCAGATTTACGGGCTTAATCGTGAGTGCGTGGCGCACATAGCTTAATTTAAGTGTGCCAATACCAAGTTGCTTGTGTTTAAACATTTCTCCAAAATAGTTTGAAACAGTTAATAATGATGGCACTTAGCGCAGTGCCCATAGTGAATCCTAGATATAATATTTAGCTCTATGGATCAGAGCTTAATCATGAATCAACGGCACCAATGTCTTCTTAGAAGTGTGCTATTACATATAAGCAGTATTGCGGTCACTGCACCAAAATAATAGTCACAATGTGTTTAGGGATGCCAAACGTTGCTAATTAAACAGAGAGACTAGATTGTTAGGTCCATACTGTCATCCATAACGAGCTCAATAGGTTAAGTGAGGCTTTCTGATCAAAGTGATCAAGTCCATCTGAATGGCATAGTATACTGAGAAGATATTTGAGATGTTAATGAATAAGACGACCTTATAGGTTGCTAAGTTTTCTTATCTTTGGTTGGGAAAGAGGATCAAAAATGGCCCTGCATATATGTACCTTAAGTACATGAGAGATATTAAGGACATTCTATGCTAATTACTTAATGCCATAGCAGAGTGCAGTAAATGTTCTACATTTTTAAATTGCCCTAATATCGTCAAAAGTTTGAGTTAAAAATTACCACCTTGTTCGATATTAATGTATGAAAGCGGTTGTGACGAGAGCAATCTCGCCACATTGCATTGGAGAAGCCTTGTTGCTCGCCTGTTGCCTTTAAACTATGGCCCCATGTTAAAAGACATCTTTTTTACCTGCAGAAAAGATTTATTCGTGCTTTTCTGCCTGGTGTTCGGTAGATTCAATCTACCGAACAACCGCACGAATGACTGGACCACCTGAGAGCTGGAGTGTGCCGGCAATTGGCCTCCCTGAAGCTGCGGTTAACCGCAGCTTAATTGACGAATGCTGGGTGGCCGCCATTCGTATCACGAACACAAGGTCGCGGCCATTTTAAACATGCGAATGCACAGCGGTGTTCGACGCTTAATTCATGGAACTGAAATCGGACACAGTTTTGCGCGAACACCGCTGAAGCCGCCGACCTCCCTTCTTGGTCGGTGAAAGTGCACAAACGGCCCGGCGTTCGGTAGTTTTGCTTGAATGTGTTATACCCCAGATAGGAATCCTATGGAGCTCGTTCACATGAAACTGACTGTGTAAAGACTTTAGCTCCATGGCGATTAAACTGTATTCGTGTGGTCTGAGCGCCATTCGCTTAATAATGTGCGCTCAGACCTGAGCTATCTGGGGATATGTTAAATGTATGCTTTTAATGTTATGTGTCTCACATAGTGTATTTTAATAGTAATTCGTGTGTTAGTATCCCCACGTGCATAATGGCAATTTGCCTTTGTCTTGGGAGATAATTGAATTACTTCTCAATTATCTCCAAGGCAGAGGGGGGGAAGCCAGGATGCATTGTGGGAATATAATGTGACTGTGTGTCCTATTTGTCTACTTGTCTGTCTTTTGTCACAGTCTCCCATTTGGTCCCCTAGGGGAGTGTCCACCAGGTGGGAGACCTGCATAAATACTGACCACTGCTTGACCCTCAACACGGAGCTCTGTCTCGTCTTTGGGGGGATTTACTGTATGCTGATAGAGACTGATTGCTAGGAGTGTAAGCCGCTTGGGTGCTTTTCCTGTTCGTCTGCTAGCAGCTATTCGTGAGGTTCCAGTTCAGGTGTTTGGAGCATTCCCTTGTATGCAGTTCAGGAGGTTGGAGCATTCCCTTGTATCATGAAAGTCATCTCTCTTGATTGGAGGTCTAAGAGTTTGCTCTCAAACCCGGAACTTAGATCAGAGTTGGCATGTTCCAAGACAATAGGCAGTACAATTCACACACATTCTATGTATTTCTTTATTGTAAGGTTTAACATTGAATATATATAGAAATATGCATCCTGACGGTAAACGTATACTATTAGGCAGCTAAGTATAGTACTACACCAGGGAGGCCACAATGACTAAACACTAACCCTTATAAAATGTTAAATTAGGTCAAAACACATACAAAACAAGATAAGACAAAACAGAATACCTTATGATATCTGTGTATTATAGAAAAATGCCATCTTGAGATCAGTGGTGTATTTAAAGAGTTACTCCAACCACCATGAACACTTCAGTCATGTGAAGTGTTTCTGATTAACTGCAATATTTATAATTGTGTGCTAGGGCCCCCAGCACATGTGACATTGGCAGCCAGCCAATGTAATTTCTCTGCATATTTTGCATCTGTCATCAGTCTGCACACTGATAACAATTGTAGAAATCTTCTCCCCTTCCCTCTTAAAAAAAACCTCCCCTTCCCTCTCTTGCCTGCCCGGAGTGCGTGCATATGCTCTGAGCTGGTGAAACGGACCAATTACTGGGCCTCTCTATGAGCAGTGATGTCGGAGGGGACATGGAAGATCAGCGTCAGGAGCTTCACCAAACGCTGGATTATAGGAGAGTAAAACTTAATTTATTTGCAGGCTGTACTGCAAATGGAGGGGGTACTTTCTCCATAGTGCATAACCAGAAAGGTCACCCCCTCCTAAAGGGTTGGAGTAACCCTTTAAAGTGGTTTTGTCACTTTCTTAAGACATTGCGACAGTTGCCGCTTGAAGTGTTGGGCCTAGAGGTGCAAGGGTAAGCAAGCGTCACTTCCTGAAACTGTCTCTCGTGGCCGATGCCATGTCCATCTGGTGGATCCTCTTTAGCTCCTGGTGCTTTATCCGGCTCACATGCGCGCGGTACAATCCGGCAAAACACATCAATGTAACTGACACCGCTAACATCATCACATCTATACGGAAGTCCAGGACTCTGAAGCAAGTAGCAAGCGTGGTGAAGGGTCTTAATGGAATGATAGAACAAGTGGCACCTTAGCTGCAGAGCTTGGTACTGTGTGCCGTTTCTGGGTTTAAACCCTTTCTTGTCCCACTACCGATATTGTAAGCATATATCTGTGTTTTTAGATTGGATTAGTAATAGGCGTTACTCTATTAGCACTTATTTATTTTTCATGTAGAGTTCCATCTACGAATACGGATTGTACATTTTGACATTTTCAAGAATGAATACATGCAAAGCCATTTTCAAATATCTTAAACATACTAAGATAAATGTAATTGATATTTATTATTTTATTTATTCACGTTTAAGAGGTGTATTTCGCGCCGGTAGCTATTTAAGGTTCCATCATTGAAATGGCAGATGGCGCTTGGGAATGTAACTTCCACTTATCTAGGGCTGTCTTGGACATGTTTGTGCCAGTTCTGCCTGCATTTAGGGCTCAAAGGACAGCAAGGAGGGATCTGTACTTGATTCCCCATTCATTATTATTCCCCATACACTACAGGTAATATTTGCACAAATAATGTCACCTTTGGTCCCTGTGCCTAGTTGCCAGTTCGCGGCTTTGTCCTGCCTGCTGGGAGCCGTGCATTGGATTTGCTCCTGGTGCAAAGTTGCCCCCCTGTGTACCAGTTAATGCTAGGAGATGGTGTTGAAGCTGAGATGCGTCAAGTCTGTCCCAATACACTGGACGTTTATTAAAAGCTTTCCCCAGGCAGCATTTGACCCCCCTCTTTTTAAAGAATTATACTAAAAACTCAGAAAAAAGTTGTGCAAAAATATCTGCTGTTTCTGACTGTCTTCAATGTCTTTGTTGGTAATCCCCAAGAATTTTCCTAATGTTTCTGACTTCCTCAGAAACCAGGAAGTGTCTGAAATAATTAGTCCTCCCCAATGAAGACATGAGCTTCAAGCCTGTGAGACCTGATAGTCTCCTGACTTGCATATTAGGCAAAGTATGCTATTTTACCGTAAGCTAAAACATGTTTGAAATTTGTACACATACTTGTTTTTTTTTTTTTTGGTTTTTTTATGTTATCTGTGCAAAACAGATAATCGTGTATCTATGTTTGAAAAGTCATTGCCTTCACAGATAAGAGTGAATCCTGCGTTTTGGCATGTGAAAAATGCTTGTTAAACTGGATTATATTTAAACATTCGCAGGTCAGATTGTGATCATCATATTTGTGTAACAAGTTAGGCCTGTTTCTCTACATTTACATTAAAGAATGTGATTGTGACTGAAGAGGCAGGGAATTATGGTAAATTACTTCTTACTGGCCACCGAAGAGTCACTAACTCGGAATTCCAATCACATTGTGGACAAGAGACCGGAAACTCATAAAACAAAGTGATTTCAAAAGTGCTAAGTGTACTCAAAGGAGTAGGAGGTGAACCCATAGAAATATCGAAAGTGGACAGATATAAGAGTTTGGATTCTGGGTTTTCTAGAATGCAGTAGCTTTGTAAATAAAAGATAACTTATCTTATTGATTATAATTTAAAGTGACACTCTCCTCACCATGGAAGGCAAGTATAGGCACTACAAGTATGGAGTTCAGTTACCCTCAGTAAACCAGTGACTGGTTTGTATACTTTTAGTGGGTTGAGCCATTTAAAACAAAAAAAAAAAAAAAACATGGTCATGATTAATATATTTGCTAAATGTGTAGGGGAGAAGTTCATCTTAAAGAGAAATTAACAAAAACTATTTTGTTGAGTGTTCTTTCAGATAAGCTCAATAGGAAGGTTTTTTTTACAACTCTCTGGTTTGTAAATCTGTTTTCTTTTTTTCCTCCAAGGTATTCTGGTACAGGATGGGATTAAATACTTTAGTTATTTGTGTATTTCGGTTTTGGTGCAGTGGCCAATCAGGAAATATAAGTAGAAAACATGTGTGGCTTTAAACCTATAAAGTAAAGTTTTAACTTCAGGGTTATTAAAGGTACACTCCAGACCCCCATGTTTCTCAAACGTAGGGGGTACGCCAAGATCTGGCTAGCTCCCCACCTTAGTGTTCCCCAGAAGGTGCCTGACTTCGCACTAATGCAGAGTGGGCACCTGCATATCCGAATGGCAGGTACCTACCCTGCCCATATACAGTGTCTGGAGGGGGCGAGAGGAATGGAGGTGGAGGCAGCGAGTGGTTGTGACATTCTTGGTCATGATCTTCCAGCACTCCTTCCTCACGCACCCTATGGTGATGCTGGTTGCCGCCCTGGCATCACTAAACAGCTCTCAAGGGAGCAATGCTGGGAGAGCATGACGGTTACACATGTCCCACAAGGGCTCCCGGGAAAGGATCCCCACTGGACCACAGGGAAAGGATCCACTCCATCTTTCCCAAAGGTAGGGAGGCTGGGTGGACTTAAATTAAAAAATAAAAATGTGTGAGGGTGTGTGTGTGTGTGTTTGTGTCAAATCAATGTGTGTTTGTCTGTCAGTGTGTGTCAAACCAATAGTAGTTGTCTGTCAGTGAGTGTGTGTGTGTGTCAGAGAGAGAGATTGGATTTCACATTTTAGTTCAAAAGAACAACTTGAACAAATTCAATCAAGGTAAGTTAGCTATGAATTAAGTTTGGCTATTTTTGTCTAAAATGTGCAATTTAAGATAAATCCATGTTTTTCTGTAATTCTTTATTTTTGCTGTGCAGTTAATGACATAGAAGCTTGCTAAGCCACGCCAGCTAAAGCAATTACGTCATATTAGAGTTGCATTGAAATAGTAGCACAATTTTAAATGTAAAACAAGTGGTTTCCAAACTATAAAAAAAAAAAAAAGTTATGTAAGAGCAGTCTGTCTAGATACACGTGAGAAGTTTAGTTTAGTATTCACTCATTTGTAGTAACATACTTAGTTAATTCACTTGAAACTAGTTAGTGTTCACTGCTGCTTTGTCTAGGGTCAACGAAGATAAGTGAGCCTTGATAGTGTCGTTTGTCGCAGTCCCTAATTGTTATGTCTCTAAACAAGTGACTGTTAACGTTTAAAATATAGCTTTATGCGAGATTAGTATGTCTGGATACGATTAAGAAGCAGTTTAGAGACTCATTTCAGGCACATTTAGGTAAACCTATGGTTTGATTAACCAGCTTAAATAATGCGCTTGTTCGGCACGAATGCGATAGTTATCCACTGGAACTTTGTTTAAGGGCAGTGAATAGGTGTTAGCTCCTGTATTAACTCTGGTAGGGTTGTGTAGGTTGTTGCGGTCCCTAGATGTTATATCTACGGCATGTTCACCATGCTAGTTCAATCTCGTGTGTAGAGGCGCAGCTGAAGGGTTCAGTGTGCTAGGTTAAATATCATGCTGGCATCAGGCTAAGAGAACGAATGCATACCGTGCAAGGTCTGAGCTTTGTTGCCCAAGATATGGATTATGTATATAGGGGGATATGCATCCGAGCTAAGAACGCCTGACCAAGGGGGTTATGCGGGAGGGGGAGGTGATAATACACCACCTAGTGTGGTCTAGACATCTGCAGTCCTAGCTGGCTCGTTCGTGTGTAAGACCTGCAAAAAAGTAACGCAAATCAAGTCCGAACTTGTCACATGGGATTTCCCATAGGAAAGTTCTAAGTGTAGTCATAGTGTTACTGGCTGCGAGTTCGTAGCTCTCGGGACAAATGGTGGTAATGATGCCGCCTGTGCTCTTAAGGTTGAGGGTGCGTTCAGGTGTAGTAGGCCCAGAGCTCCCAAGAAAGTCGAGGCTTCTTCCATGGGGGGTAAAACGTGCATAGTCCCTTCTTGAGAAACCGCTAAGGAGCCATTCACTCCCCACCGATGGGTTAGTCCTGCTGCCCTCAGCTGTGCCGTGACCGGACCAAATGAAGCGTGGACCTTGTTAGATCCTGGAAGAAGGTAAGAGTTGCGTTTTCAAACATGATTGGTTCTTTGCCTTTTAGTGCTGACATTATTTGTAGTTTGTCAGGTAGGGTAATGCAGCGAAGGATGACATCTCGCACCACAGCGGACTGGAGGCAAGTAGGACTTGGGAGACGGTAGACACTGTCGATAGCAATCTTCTTGGCCACTGTGTGAGGCAGGATTATAGCCAGCATCCTCCTAATGTAGTGGGGCAGCTCTTCCGCTGTAATCGTAGGGGGGGGGAGGCCCCTGATCTTAATATGTGTGCATCTCTGATGGTCTTCAAGTGTGGTAAGTTTAAGTGATAGTGATTCTACGCATGAAGCACTATTATAGAATCGTCCACTGTAGACAAATGATTTTGTACCGCTATCATATCTCTCCGGTGACTCTAACTCTCTCCATAACCACCTGCACCTCCGTTTTAAGAAGTGCAGAGTTGGCCGCCAGTAATTTGTGGATATTGGCGCTCTAGGTCCTGTTTGGTGGTCGGTGCGGAGTCGTCAGACGGTTCCTGTGTCACAGCCTGGGATGCTGGTAAATGGCGTCTGGTCAGGACAGTTGGCAAGCCCCGCCCCCCATAAATTCCATTTTTAAATGCTTCATCTATGTAATACATACCAAAATATATAAAAGACATAAAAAAACATGGCTTTATTTTGCTCGGTAATGCAGCCTGGGACCTCCGATACATTTCTTGGTATACTTTGTTAGTAAGCATGTCATTATCATGTCAAAGGTCTAATTATGAGGCTGTCTCCACTCTGAGAGCAGAGCAGTTACACATAGTTATCTAAGTTGCCACAACACATAGTTTTAATGATGATCTTGAAGGCTGTATTTTTTTTCTTTTCTATTTTACACTTTGTATCTTAGCTACAGAATTCTCTAGATGTTTGAATAGGTTATGGCGCAAAAAGCCCGTGTTGTCCCATTTTTTTTTTTCTCCTGAAGTCGTTCATGTAAAACCCATGAAGAGTTTTTTTTTTTTTTATTCATGGGGAAAAAATGTGAATCAAACTCTTTGGCAATTTACTTAGTTGGAAGCTGCAGCATATATGAAGCCGCGCAAAGCTTTGGAACGTCATAACTAATAGAACCCTGTTGAGCAGAGGTTTGTAGAATATGAACAGATGTTTAATGCGTCGCTGAGAAATATGAGCACCTTCTTGGTCCACAGGAAAAGCTGGCAACTTGCAGCACTTGACGAAAAATCAGAACTAAAGCGGAAATGTCACCATCTGGGGGGGGTTAAGTATCGCTTAAGTATCTTCTGTGCATGAAACGTAAACAGGAATTAGCATTTCAGATTTACAGTATGTAACTATGACACAGTAAATGAGTATGATATTACATTTATGAAATACTCAGTTTGCAGGGGAGGGGAGTGGATTTTGTCTAAAACGTTTAAAATATACTAAAAATGTACATTAAATCCAGTGTCAGCCAAAGCTGTCTGAGAAACTTTGCACGCCTGCTGTGACATCATTTGTGACATCATGGCATGTCACCCAATGCCACCTGCAGTCCAATCAAATGCTTTTCATTCAGTCAGTTCAGTTTCTTCTGATGTAGAGAAGCCTTGAATTAAAATAAAATAAATGCTATAGTGTGTGTGTGTGTGTGTGTGACAGCTCATTTCCCTGCCACAGCCTGCCCACCGTCCAAACCAAAAGCCGTGATGGGGAAGGAGGCAGGGACGGAGGGCTGCACAGAGGATTGGGGGATTGGACAGTGAGAGGTGAAGAAGTGATTGTAAAATATGTCATGATGCGGGGCTAGTACGCCTAACCAGGGGGACAGACAGTTGGACTGTGAGCGTGAGCCACTAGCTCAGAGACCTACAGGGTTTTCCTTGCAGATACGCTCACCATGCTGCTTCCAAAAGGAGAATCTCATTACATGTGTCACCAGTGCGCTATGCGTGCGGACAACAGACTTTATGTACAGAACAAAAGTTCCAGGCTGACTAGGTCACGCGTGCTGGAGCTGTAACTACAATCCAACATAAATTCACTAATATATCTGTATAGGCATCGATTCAAGCTAAAGCGCCGCACATACAGATTACTTGAACCATGACCGCTTTTAAAAACGGCAGTGGTCATGGTGGTTGGAGTAATCCTTTTAATAGAATCTGAAATTTCCATACATTCATAAATCAAAGTTGAATTAAATGAAAAAAAAAATTAACAATGAAAGAGAAGAAAAAAATATGATTCCCTCGCACTACAGTCAGAAGGGACTACGACCAAAATATGTCACCAAGGGATCCCAAAGGCATTTAAAAATTAGTAAATGTGGTGCACATTTATAGGTCGTTTATCCTTATGCATTGAATTTTAGTTTATTTTTACCAATTGAATAGAACAAACAACAAAGGTGTGCTTTAGATATCACAATATGTTAACTAGTATTTTATACTTCTTGAACATCATCTTAAAGGTATCTTTAGATCTTTAACATTCATAATTTTTGTTAACTTTTAACGCGTTATTTGATCAATGGTTTTATAACCAGGAGGTTGCAGTCTGAAGGGTGTAGAGTTGTTTCCAACAAGATGTTGTTGCTGGGCTGCCTGTGGCGGTTTCTTTTTTATTTAAATTTAATTTTTTTTAAACTTTCTTTTATTCTTTATTTTGACCTGCAATGGGTTATAGACATGCGTTCAGTATACTGAAGCGTGACAATGAGTTTGACATTGCATGTGGCACATTGAAGTAGTTACAGTTTGCACTTTTTATAAAATATATACAATATGAGTAAATTCCTAGTGGTTGGTGATGAGTAGATTTATGGTACAACAATAACAATAGTGTCATCCTATACTAGGTAGAGTAATGGTTACTGGCTTTTTGGTCTGGGGAGGGTGTGACAAACTCCCCTGTCCTAGTGACTTTGCCACGAGCTGCTGGAGGAGCCTGCTTGCCAGCCTCCTGCCCACTGACTTTGGGCCAGGTCAGCGACTGTAAAGACGCATATTTTATTCCCCCCTGGTTCAGCACTTTCCATTCGTGCGCATAGAACTGAACGATGGCTCCCTGGTGGCCGTTCACATGGACCAAAACCCTGAATAGACTTCAGGGGGACTTAGCCACGATTCTATGGATCTATTTTCGGCTAGGGGACCATGCATGCGGTCGGTCAAATTATGACTTCCAGGAAATTCCTGAATCCCTGAACCGATCTGGGTGATTTTTGGATATGTTGGTTACCCATATTGGGGTAATGAGGGGATGTAACTTTTGTGGGGTTTTATGTATTTTTAAGGTACTTTTGGGAAATGTGTGTGTTTTGTGCTTTGAGATAATTGAGTTTAATACAGTGCTTGACTCAATTATCTCCCAGGCACAGGGCAGGGATTATCTTGTTTTGTATGGGAGTGTCCTGGACCTGGGAGCCAATGTAATTGTGTGTTTGTTTTTACTGTAGTCTACTTTCGGGTCCAGGGGGGAGTGCGCCATGCATGGGGACCGGTATATAAGGCCAGTTATAGCTGCCATTAAACGTAGTCCAGCTTGTACTCCCAGAACTATGTGTCGTCTGGTTACTGAGAGGAGAAAGGGCTAATCACTGTTCCAGTGTGGAGAATTTGATGGGGAAAGTCCTTGTAAGGACTAGAGCTCCCAGAATGGAGTGTCGTCCAGTGCCTGGGGGTTTCTAGAGCGAATTCCCCATTTGGATCCAGGAGGGAGCAGTTCCAGGACCCCAGTCAAGCCACGGTGACTGTGGGCAGAAGTGCTGCGGTTTTTCCCTTGTTCCAGCTAGGAAGCGGTCCTTGTCGAAGGTACCCAGTCAGGGGTACAGGGAGCTCCGTTACAGAGGGTAACACTGTAGCAAAATAAACATACTTGTGTTTTGTCACAAGTGTAGAGTGTGTAGGCTCGTTACCCTGCCTGGGTGCAGTGAGATTTGGGAATGCTGGGGTCATTGGAGTAAGTGATCTCTATTTTGTTCCTTCAGTAGAAGGAGTGGCGTGCCTGGTGGTGGTGTTAAGTACTCCTGAATGGTGTTACCTCTAACCATGGGGGTGTCGAGGGGAGGAGGGAGGTCTTATGTTGCAGTTGTACTTTAGGTAGTGGCATTAGACTGGACCTATACCTCTTACCCTAGGGTCTCAAGGATTTACTCGGGGTTGACCCAAACTATCTTTGAGTCATAGATTAAAAAAGAAACAAAGTGAACTATGCAAAAAGAAAATGATATAACATGTTATCAGAGAGTCTTTATGGCCTTTCTCCCGGTTCAGTAAGATGACTGCATCAACAGCTCCATTCAGGTAGCCTGTCAATTCTGCCTGCTGGTTCTCGGCACGAATGGCATTATGCGCACTGGGTTCCAGGTTGGGTGAGCGTGTTGCGCAGATGTGGTTGCTGTCTCATCTGTGAGGCCCAGTTTGTAGGCCAGCGCAGGTATTTCTGCCTTTGAGGTGAGTTTATGTGTCGTCACGTTGTGGGTGATTAGGAGGGTTTTCGGTGTCCCCCACCTATAGGCTATCCCTACTGAGTGCAAGTGTGTCGTAAAGCGACTGAATGATTTTCTCCATTGTAAGGCAGCTTTAGACAGGTCTTGATAAAAAGTCAGTATAGAGTCCTCAAACTTGAGGGGAGTCTTTCCCTTCATGGCTGCCATAATCTGGCTTTTGTCCTGTGGCAAGGTGCAACAGAGGATAACATCTCCAGCAGTAGTGGACTTTGCCGGGATGGGGAGGCGATAGACAGCATGGTCATTTTCTTTGTTACCGCAGGTTGTAGCAGGGAGCCGCCTTGCATAGTGTGGTAATTCCTTTCTGGACACTGTAGAGGGGATACCTCGTATCTTGATATGATTGCAGCCGTATCAGTCCTCCTGCACAGACAACTGCAGAGTGAGGGCTCATTGCGTAACCCGTAGCTGGGAGATGGATTATTTCATCGTAGTTCGTTTGTCTTTAATTCCTTTGACTTCCTCCACAGTGGATGTCACTGTCTCCATGACTTGTTGTAGGTTGGTTTTAACGCTGTCAGGTCTGTGTTTAGGAGCCTCTGAAACTCTTGCAGCATGTTTTGTAGATCTTGTTTAGTGGCCGGTTCAGAGCTCCAGTTCTCCTCAGCAGTTGGTGCATGTACGGCCTCCTGCCCGGCTTGCTCTTCACGATGAGCCAGAGATTTGTGGGAAGTGGAGTGTCTCGGCTTTCTGCGGTCGCCATCTTTGCAGGTGGATTCTGTAGGAGAATAGCTCAGATATCACGCTGGTCGCTTGCGGCTCCAGGTTGAGGTTTTTGCGATCTGTGCCCCATAGTTGGTGTGGTAGGAGTGCATCGATGGGTATATATTCGTCTGCGGGGTATATTCCACACAGGAACTAGGCAAGGTCGGGATGCGCTGGCGTGAAGTAGGCCCCGACTTTGCATTTTCATTTGGTGAGCTTTGTGGTGTGTAAAAAGGGCATTGATCAATGCAGCAGGGGTCCCTTCGTTTGGACCTGGTGTTGTAATTGCTGGATGCCGTAGATTTTTCGTAATTTTTGGCCAGATTGTAACAAGCAAGTGGGAGTTGTTAGAAATGGTGTCTGGTCCATCTCAGCGTTTATATGTTTATATTAGTCTAAACTTAACTAAACACAATTTCTTTCAGAGTTCACTGCAGCCATTGTCAAGGTGAATGTCACTTTGGTTATAGCAGCTGGGAATGCGCGTTACACCATTTAAGTGGATGATTATATCCGCTATTAAAAAGGAGGTTTTTAGTACCATCATAACAGCCATTAAAGTGTAAGCTTACTTGCCAATGTCAAGGAAAACATCCTAGGAGAGCCACGTGAGTTTATAATTTAACAAGACACAAATCCATTATTTAAATGGCTGTAGGGATATGGCATAGTGCACAGGTTTGGTTTAGTTTGTACATTTGAGTTGTGAGACCTTGATGTTCTGTTTCCAGTGGCTGTAGAGAAATGTATAGTTTGACGCCGGATTCTATGTGAATATAGTTCTTCTCATAGGGAAACATTGGAGTGTTTTTTTTTTTTTTTATTCCCTAAATACATAACTTTCATGTGCATATTAAACCTCACCTGCAACTTGCCTACCCAATCACTGATAATTATCATACTGCACAAAATCTATTATCTAAGTTAAAGTTGTGCCATCTGCAGACACTTTGTTTGGCTTATAGAATATTCCAGTAAGAACTACTCGTTGCAATCTATCTTTACACCAGTTTTCTGTCCAAGTACCATCAGTTTCCCCAAGTAATTTTTTTTCAAATTGTATATTAACAACAATATGTGTGCAACCAAATACGTCTTTTTACAAAGCTTATACTTTTACTCTTCCAATTTCAGTGCTCTTGTTTGTAGAATTTGTTTTGCATGCTCAGATTCTTGGGGTGACCATAATGATTTTACCTTGGACTGATTTCTTAAAGTGGCTCTGTCATCCTTCCATCCCTCCCGACCCCAAAATGAGCATTTCACATGATAAAATCTTTATACATTGACTGACTGTTTTGGAATTTCACTAAAATTCCAACCAAGTCAAAAGATATTTGACAAACTAGGGACAACTTTGTCTTATGTAGTTTTTCTATGCTTGACAAAGCTTGACACAAAGGCGAAGTTACCTTTGGGTCAAGCTCTCAGCTATCACAAGTCTCTGTCTATGGAGGATCACACAGTCTTGCTAGATTCTCCATAGACATCAATGTTGTACTCTGTCTTGAGCATGCGCATGAGTACAGCAAGATGTTGGCTTCTGGCAGACAAAGCTCCAAGTGCTGAAGAGGACCTTGCGCAAGAAGATGGTTGTGGCTGCAAAGGACAGCTTCAGGTAAGAAAAAAACGACATTCCCCTGCACCTCCGGGCTACCGCACTGCAGGCAGGACAGTAACCATCTAGGCTCTAGTGAGTGCGGTGACCTGGAGGTGCAGGCGAAGGTAGTTTTATATTTATCTGAACCTGTTGTTCACTGCTGCATGTCCTGATATAGAAGGCAGTTTATTTTTTTTTTATTTATTTTTTTTTACACATAATTTCTTAGAATATTTAACATCCTTTAAATGTATCTCGTATAACAGACCTTGCATTAATCCCAGGAAGAAAACAGGTTCTTTTTATACTGTTTATGTTAAAATATGCAGTATTTCCCTAGTGCATAAGGCAACCAATCGGATAAAGTATCATCTTATGAAAATATGCACCCAAGGGCATCCCTGTACATAGTCTGAGCTGGAAATTCAGTGCAGCCTGCTGTCATCCACTGTATGAAGTATGTTTGCAAACACAGTTTTTTTTATATGAAAACTGCATTTAGTGCTTTTGAAAAATAAATAGACTTTAACATCCTTGGCCCAAGGGGCAAATAATGAGTTGTACAATGTAAAGTCTCTTTGTACCTTGTCTTCCCTATTTAGTTATAGAATAGATGTGCTAAAACTGTCACTTTATCTCGAGAGGTTTGCTATTGTATCTGTGGGTAATGTGAGATGACTGTATCTCACTATCTCAGCATCGCTGTTGGAGTTGCTAGCACCAAACCTTTTGCTCAGCCGTTCTAAAATAACATTTCATTATTTTACAGGGTTACTTTCTATAGACCAATAAAAAAATATAAACAAATATTTTATGATATGAGTTTAATTCAATTTTATGTATTGAGAGGATAATTTGGACTCTTAAAATGACTTAAAGGGAACCTATCACTAGGGATGCACTGAAATTAAAATTCTGTGCCAAACCCAAAAATTCAAGATGCCCTCGTACGAAAACCGAAAATGACTTTTTTTTTCCCCCAAAATGATTTTAAAATAGTTATTTCTATAATTTTATTAATATTAGACTTTTTAATGAATTTAATTAATCTAATATGAAAAACTTCCCTTTCCCTTCTCTTTTAGTACCCCCCCACCCCAGTGTTCCTTTTCCCTTCCCTGTACCTTAATCCCCCCCTCTAGTGTTCCTGTCCCCTCCCTCTTTTTTAGTGTTCTTTCCCCCCTCCTCCCCAGTCCCATAGTGTTCTTTCCCCCCTCCTCCCCAGTCCCATAGTGTTCTTTCCCCCCTCCTTCCCAGTCCCATAGTGTTCTTACCCCTCTCCCCTCTTCCCCTCTCCCATAGTGTTCTTTCCTCCACCCTCCCGTGTCCCATATTGTTCTTTTCTCCTCCCTCCCCTGTCCCATGGTGTTCTTTCCTCCACCCTCCCCTGTCCCATAGTGTTCTCCTCCCACCCCTGTCCATAGTGTTCTTTCCCTTCCATTCCCCTCCCCACCCCCCCAAGTGCAGTATTCTTGACTTTTCATGTTCTCATTACTATCTTTCATTGTGATATATAATCATCTAAATTGTCAATTCAAGCATGTCTGTTAAACTATGCACTACAAAAAAAAACAAAAAACTGTAAATTTGACCTGTTTTTGGGCAAAATTTCGGTGCATCCCTACCTATCACCCTGTGGGTGGCAAATCCGCATTCAGATAGGTGTAAATTTACTAAAATGCTTTGTGCTGCCTATTTGGCAGCAAATGCATGGATTAAACGATGTACTAATCTAAAGATGGCTTCCTCCTCACCTAACATGGTGTCCTTGGTTGGAAATAGAAGTATGGAAGAGGAAGAGCTTCTGGGTATGCTGTCACCTTGCTCACAAACATTATAAGGGGCAGCTCAGAATTCCGAGGTTACATGTTCAGTCTAGGTGTTGTTGGATGTTGCTGTACAGGCAGCCAATCCTGACATTTGTACTTGTAGTCTTTACCACTGTGTATCAGTGTAGTGCACTTTCAGTACAGGAACTCACAAGAAATGTGTTTGGTAGCATTAAGCACTCCATTAGGGATATAAAGGTCTAGCCAGGGAATGTGAGCTGCAGATTCTCCCTTGGTTATCTTCTTAACGTAATTCTTCGAGTGGGTTAACAAGATCACTGGCTAATAATAGCTATATCTGTTTAGCAAAGTACCTGTGGATTAGAAAGCATAAAAAGCCCAAGTGAATGGTCCAACATTTTCGCCATGATATGGAATGCATATTTAGTGTAGGAATTCACACATTACTGCTGTGGAAAATAGAACAGCCCAGTGCTTTCTTACTGGGTATAAATCTGCCTGGAATTGAACTCTTGTGACAGACTGTAGAATAGATTAATAAATTCACAGCCAGTAACACGGGGCTCAGGGTTGACCCTTTTAGCCGCTATAGATCACAGTTTTAGTGCTGGTTCTGGGTATTATTGAGCAAATCATTGTGCAAGGCTATAATTAACTGACAGCGATGCTCTGTACGGCTGGGTGTCTAAGGGCAGCATTCTATAGAGACAGTTATCTAAAAGCACCATTCTATATAGAGCCATATATCTGAGAGCAGCATTCTATAGAGCTGTGTACCGGAGAGCAGCTTTCTATAGAGCCAGGTATCGGAGAGCAGCTTTCTATAGAGCCAGGTATCTGAGAGCAGCATTCTATAGAGCTGGATATCTGAGAGCCGCATTCTATAGAGCTGGGTATCGGAGAACAGCATTCTATAGAGCAGGGTATCTGAGAGCAGCATTCTATAGAGCAGGATATCTGAGAGCAGCATTCTATAGAGCCGGGTACCTGAGAGTAGCATTCTATAAAGCCAGCTACCGGAGAGCAGCATTCTATAGAGCTGGGTATCTGAGAGCAGCATTCTATAAAGCTGGGTATCTGAGAGCAGCATTCTATAGAGCTGGGTATCTGAGAGCAGCATTCTATAGAGTTGGGTATCTGAGAGCAGCATTTTATAGAGCCGGGTACCTGAGAGTAGCATTCTATAAAGCCGGTTACCGGAGAGTAGCATTCTATAAAGCCGGGTACCGGAGAGCAGCATTCTATAGAGCTGGGTATCGAAGAACAGCATTCTATAGAGCAGGGTATCTGAGAGCAGCATTCTATAGAGCTGGGTATTGGAGAACAGCATTCTATAGAGCAGGGTATCTGAGAGCAGCATTCTATAGAGCAGGGTATCTGAGAGCAGCATTCTATAGAGCTGGGTATCTGAGAGCAGCATTCTATAGAGCTGGGTATCTGAGAGCAGCATTTTATAGAGCCGGGTACCTGAGAGTAGCATTCTATAAAGCCGGTTACCGGAGAGTAGCATTCTATAAAGCCGGGTACCGGAGAGCAGCATTCTATAGAGCTGGGTATCTGAGAGCAGCATTCTATAGAGCTGGGTATCGGAGAACAGCATTCTATAGAGCAGGGTATCTGAGAGCAGCATTCTATAGAGCAGGGTATCTGAGAGAAGCATTCTATAGAGCTGGATATCTGAGAGCCGCATTCTATAAAGCCGGGTACCGGAGAGCAGCATTCTATAGAGCTGGGTATCTGAGAGCAGCATTCTATAGAGCTTGGTATCTGAGAACAGCATTCTATAGAGCCAGGTACCTGAGAGCAGCATTCTATAGAGCCGGGCATCTGAGAGTAGCACTCTATAGAGCCGGGCATCTGAGAGCAGCACTCTATAGAGCCGGGCATCTGAGAGCAGCACTCTATAGAGCTGGGTATCTGAGAGCAGCACTCTATAGAGCATTCTATAGATCATGTAAGGGAATTGTGGTGAGCATGCACTGCAGGTAGCATGGTAGCTCTCTACACAAGTGAATGTGAAGTAGGAAAAAAAGCGAAAAGTTGTTTTTTTTGGCATGTCAGCATAAGCCGCTGTAGGTCTTTAAACCGGTATGACTACACTATGTGGTTTTATATGATGCACCATTTAAAATTCCTTGTGGTTTCAGTTGTTTAATAGCATAACAAATGAAAACAACGATATTGCAGGTGAAGAGACCTTATAAATATTTATTTGCTAAAATGCGTCCTGTTTCTCCATTCATCGTACAGATATTGAGGGTACATGATCCTCCACAATCTGTTACCTTTAGCAGTATTTTAATGCATGACATTTGTGACTCTATTCATTCCTCCCACGTGTCGCTGTTTAAAGGAACACTCCAAGTACCATAACTACTATATCTCACGGTGTCCTTGCAGCATAATCTGTCAAACTATTCCAGAATGGGTCCCCTGGGCATCCATGCTGCATCCAGTCTTCCTCTGCAGGAGAAGAGAATTGTCTTCAATAAACAAAGCAGATCCAATACAGGACCGTGACTTAGAGCACTCAGCTAACACTCTTAGCCAACGAGCATGATTCTGCTTAGATCAGGAATTACTAAAACCCCATACATCTAAAGATGGAAAAACTATTTTGGAGATACTACTATTTCTATTTTACAATTATACGTTTCGTACACATCCTGAAATTAAAGAAACACTTAAGGGGTTTAAACACTACAGCCCAAAGGTAAAGGTTATACTGCAGTAGTGCCGCGGCACCCTCCCAGAGTAATCCTTCAAACTGTTTTGCTCCACATAGAGGTATGCAGGTAGAATGGATTTGGTGATAAGGAAAAGTAGACAGTCACATGACTTCTGAAAGGGCTGACGTGTGTGCATACATAGTCTTGCTCCCTATCCCAGCAACTACAGCACCATAGACCTTCGAAACCCATTTATTGAAAGTTAAATCATAAAACCCTTATTTCTGACTATTTAAACAAATGAACTATAGTGGCTTAATTGTCATCCATTTTTTCTTAAAAATTATTCAGGACTGCAGGAAAGAGTCAGATTTGGTATATACATAAATAACACATTTTTCATTTATCTGAACCTCCTCCAATGAGTGGCTTTTCATTGGCTTATGATTGAATTCCCTGCTGCATGCAAGCCTTCCAACCTCAGAGCTTTTTAAATTGACAAAGAGGGGCACTTTACTTCTAGGGCTATAAGCTGGGTGTTTGGACGGGAGGGCCGTTCGGAAACTGTAACTGCAGCCCATCATACAAAAAGTGAAACCTTGGTTTACATAAATGAGTTGTGAGACAGTCTTGCACTGTTAATGCATGGAGTGTCCTTGAAACTGAATTAGATACTGGATTAATAAAAATAATTAATTACCTGGCTTACTTTACTTTAAGAATTCAATGGGTGCGAGGAATAATTTTTTTATGTTTTACATCAGAAATAGCCAATGGACGTCTGCTTTACAGATGTTGTGGAACTACAACTCCCATAATACTTTGATAGCTTTCATGCTTCCATTTTGATATCGTGTCTGGTCCCTTTTCATCCCTGCTGCAAGTATGTTACAAGATGCTGATGTTGAGTGTGTATTGCAGATGAGAGAGACTTGGCTTGGTTATCTTCTAATTTATTTATGCATATCTGTTTTTTTGTTGTTTTTTTTTTTTTTTTAAATCCTCAAAATATACTGATTTCCCCCCCAATTATGATACCATTTGCATGTCTGCAGTAATTTGTTGCTGTGCTACAAAGAGAGGGAAGGTCCAGGATGCACCAGCTGACTGTCAGGGGGGAGGAGGATGTCTGACAACAGGTGGTCCTGAGACATGCTGGCTGACACAGAGCTCACAGCAAACATGTCACACATCACAGTGCCGAGGTCTGTGAGCATGTTCTGTCTGCAGAGCCATCTGATCCCTGACACCGGCTCAATGTGCCCGTAGCAACCACCAACTAGTCATGGCAGTCAGGCACGAGCTTGGCAAAACCATCAGAAGAATAGCACGGCTCTTTTTCTGGTTCCCAAAAACAGTGAGCATCACCAGAGGCAGGAAACTAAAGCTTCTCTGGAGGGCTGCTGGTAAGAACACAAATCTTGCTTTCATTTTTTTTTTTTTTTTTATGCTTTTCATTTATTATTATTATTATTATAATTTTTTTATTTTTTTATCTATATACATGTATTTTTTTTCTTTGCACTCCTGATAAGTGATGAGATGCTTTTTCAGCATTGGAGATTATAGGTTTTCAGTGCGGTGGTGAGAGATATATTTCCAGACCGTTTTTTGTATTGAATGGAAATGCATGCAAAGTCTGTGACTGCAGAGAATGATCGAAGCAGCTCCTAATATAATGCAGTCCGCAGCACATTCCCAGCAGTTTTATTATACATTGACCAAAGACACTGGCAATTGGCGGCATGTGCTGTGTAGCTACAAAAGGATTCTTTTCATTCTATTGTCACAGCCCGAGAGGCTTCACTGCAATACAGCAGCGGTACTTAAAACAAGGGGTGACACAATCTGCATTAATTATTCTTTATTAGCCATTCCTCCATTGGAATATAAAAAAATATATTGCTTTATCGACACAGTACCAGCTATATTATCATGTTGTCCTCTACTGCCCTTAATAGACATGAGCCAGCAATGCACAGTGCAGTATTTCAGGAATAAATGCAGTGCACGTCTGCCATTTAAAGCATTTATTTTATCTATAGGTATTATTTTTTTTTAACCAGAAGACTGTTTTTATTTATATGCTAGTCATGTTTGGTAGGCATTGTATGATAGGCATGTAGAACGCTTGGCTTTATATACTAGGCTACCATAGTGTTGAATGAGGATTCAATGATCATGGATACATGTTTGCATTAGGCTTTATGGAAGCTCAAGAAATCATTGACAGATTTTGTTACAGCGTTGGGCTGGATTTTTCTGGCAATGTGTTAGTAATAGCAGAACGTGTTTTCAGTGAAATACTGGTTGGGTATTATTTTGCCTGAGGAACAGTACACCGGGGCTGTCTCTGTTACTCGGTATACTAATTTGCAATCTTATACCTGACAAATGAATGTTTAGCTGACTGATTGCTAACCGTGGCGTTCTGGATGCTCTCATTAGGCTCAGCCGTGATATTTGGGGTTCTCTTATTCAAAATGCTTAGAAATGTATTGTTACTGTGACGACCTATGACTGATAGACTCCAGCGATGAATAAATGTCTACTTATTTTCTGTTGCACATGGGGACTTGGCTATGAGTAATGAAGAATGGGGTTATGTTGCCCAAAACAGTCCACATTTATCCCCATATCTACTAATTGTTCCATATTTTTTTCTCTGCCATTCAGCTTCTGGGTATACTTGAGAAATGTACCTAGAACGTGCACTTTAATGACGTGCTGCATCAGGTCAGTACAGGAGCATCCACAGAGCTGTGCGCATGGGCAGCCTCAGTTCTCATAGCTTCCATTCAGGCTGTCATATAAAAACCACGCTTTGTGACCGTTTGTGACCAATGACTGGCATTGCTTCATGGCATGTCCCCATTCCAGACAATCCCTTCATGTATCAAAGCTCCCAGTGTTGGGAGATATAATCCCCAAATAGGTTATTTTAATTAATATCCCCCTTTGGAATAGAATTCGCAAACTAGTAAAAATGAAAACACCAAGGGTTCATAAAGCGAAGGTTTGCACATGATGGTCAGACAGAAAATACTTTAACTATTGCCAGACAAAATGTTATGCACAGTGTTTGGTTTACACTAATTCATTGCTAAGGTTGCTTTAATTAACATAGGATAAATTCAAATCCACAGTACTTATCTGATCAATAATGCTTTCTGATTGTCAACCGGTATCACATGAGTATTCTCAACACAATCACAACCTTTTTCGGGCGGTACCAAGTTAAAATGTTCAAAAATTTGTAGAAAAATGTTTTCTGTGGTTGATCAATTTCTTTTTAGTGTTGTGGTGTTTATTATGTGGCCAAACCATGCAAAGATTGGGCTCATCCACACTTTCACAAATGTCTAGGTCCCCCCACACCCTCATATATTAACAGTGGTCCCCACACCATCTCCTCCTTTGTCTTTTTCTCTGCTCCCATGGTGGCCCATGGGGTGTATAATTCAATTCTACATGGTTACCGGCGGCACACCAAGGGTGCAGAGGAAAGGTGGGTACGTCCTCCAGAATCTTGATTGTCGCCAAAGCTTCTCCCCGTCTGGCAGTTAGGCTTTAGGAGTATGTACTATGCTGTTCGCATGGTGATAGGATGAAGAGCTCTCCTAGGCTCCAATGCAAGAACCGAGAAATTTTGGTGAAAATGACTGCATCGTTTCTATATGACCATAGTTGTTGTTAACAAGCTTTATTCATAAAAGAGGGTCTGTAATGTTGCTTCCAAGGGTTCTTCCTGGTCCATTTCAGGCATACCTCGTATCCTGATATTGCTCCTGCATCCTCTCTTATCTAGGTCTTTGGCCTGCTTCCGTAGGTCCAGGATCATGTTTCCCTGCCTTGTGGCAGTGAGTTCCGCTGCTCAATTCAGTTGCTCGGATTATTGACCTTGGGGACAGGGCCCCAAAGTCGAGACACTGTCCCCAAGGTCTGCAATGTCCTGCCAGAGAGGTCAGCCAGCTCATGCCAAATTGTCCCCTTGGTGGAGGACTCTAGTGCTATTGTCGAGTCTGCTAAGCAGGAGCTAGGCACTTATGCTGCCATCTTGCCAGTGATCCAGGCCACGCCCACTTGACCAATGGTCTCGACACAGAAACCGTATATTTAAGATTTGGAAATGACTGCATTAGTGATATATTTTGGCAAGATATGGACCGGTTAAACATTGCAGCCGTAAAGCAGGAATAAAAGAACCCGTTTCAATAAGAAAACGTTTCTGTCTTTAGACTTGGCAGTAAAATAAATTATGGGGTAGACTTATTAATCAAGCTTACCCACTAGCTAATATTAAGAACACCGATAATTGCTTCAGTGTTGATATTACATAAGTTGTTCCCAAGGAACATGTTCTTACTAATAGTTAAAGCAGACATATCACTTGTAGCTTTTTGTTTTGTTAAATATACACTGTAATGTCCACAATGAAGAGACAATATTGACATTAGATAGTATTTATTCCAAGTTTGTAGTATATTGTAAAAATACATGACACGATCTTCCTATTGCCTATATGGGCAGATCATCCCCCCCCAAACTGAGTATTGCATGCTGGATGACATCATACTATTCATAAATAAAAACGGAATACATAGTATGATTGATGACGCTATAGGGGCTGAATTATAGACAACACCCACAAATTGCAGCTGCTGTACAGATGTGTAATCCCCACCTATCTTTGGTGGAGATTACTCTCTTGCCTTGCCTGACCCCTTGTTTTAAAAAGTAACATAATATACAATTTATGCAGTAATAAAGTGTGTACTTGAGAATTTCAAAACTTTCATAACCCACTTAACCTAAGGCCCTTATTATTTGTTATGATTTACTGTCCTGTATTCTCTAGCTATGTATGGTTGAGTGGGCATGAGGGGGGGATCGCTGACCAGCCCCCAACCTACAGGACCTTGCAGCTGATGAAGAGAACTCTACAGGGTCCTAGTGCCCATTCACAAGTGAGCGCATCTAATATGTGCCAGCGCTGTGCTGCCCAAGGACCTTTCCCGTGTATCCCAGAATGCGGGACCAGGGAACATAGTCAGGACATGGACCCGAAATCAGGTCTTTCCTGATGAAATCGGGACTGTTGGGAGAACGGCAAACAATGAGGTTTATTCTCTAAACACGAATTGTAGTGAATTGAAATGTTAATTCTTAATGAATCTTAGATTATCCAAATTTAGTTAAATAGTCTAAATTTTTTAACACAGCCACGCTGTGACTATAGCGGTGCTGGTGAATTTTTCTGTGTCGGCTGTTTTCGTCTAAATGTTTGTTTGATTTTCGGTTCACCACTATTTGCTATTTAGTGAATAAAACCGATTTTAATCACGGTTTCATCAGGCCAGAGCTAGCTGTTCAGTCCTTGGAATTAATAATACCCTATCTAAGCAACAACTGTTTTTAATTGGCAGCCTGGAACGGAAGCTGCCAGAAAACATGACACTGCTGTAATTAAAATGTTTTCCATTTTATTCTGGGAACTTGTCTTCTATTATGTATTTTCAAACTATAAAAAAAATATATATTTATTTTCCTAGTACTCCACACCCATAATGAGGAGCAGATCCCACAATTATTACATAGAGTAATTAATTCCAGACATTCATGTTTATGTACCAAGCAATAAAATCCAAAAAGGTCCAAGTGACTTATGTATAGAATGTAAGCTCGTTTGAGCAGGACCGTCTTCAATTCTTGTTTCTGTTATATTCAGTATGTAAATTACTTATCAGATATTTCCATTTTATAATTGTAACTCGCTGCGGAATATGTTGGCGCCCCATATAAATGATGATAATATAGTTTAATAACATTTACCTGTACATTAATTATATTAATTTAAACGTGTATCTGACATGCTTACCGTGACATGGTGCCACTTTACAGAACATGGGATTTCCTTTATACACAACCAAGCTGGTAGTGTATATAACGTATAGATTAAAAGTAATTTAGAGTTCTATTTATTTACTTTAATTATTTTATTGAGTGGTTCTGACAAACCATACAATAGTCAAATAAACAGCAGACATCAAAATGTTTTATTATTTTGACCTGTCTGAGTTTTACTGTTATGCCATCGGCATAGCAGTAAAGACTTCATCTAATCCACTCTCTGATGCTAGTCGATCCTTTCCATTGTATGCTGTGAATGCAGAAGAAGTCTGCAGGGAGTGATTTTAGGATGTAATCTATACACTTAGCCAGTTTTAGTATTTTGGTCTTAAATTTACAATTCCCTGCTGATTTCCTGACAATACAGGTTTAAGTAAGTAACCCTTTCAGTATTTCATGCAACTTGTTTCATAAAAATAAGCTTTAAAGGGACACTATAGTCACCAGAACAACTACAGCTTAATGTAGTTGTTTTGGTGAGTATAACCTGTCCCTGTAGGCTTTTCAATGTAAACGCTGCCTTTTCAGAAAAAAGACAGTGTTTACATTGGTGCCTAGTAACACCTCTAGTGGCAGTCACTGCTTCCTGGGTCAGTGACGGGATGGGGAGGGGCAACAAGCAGAGGCAGAGGGACACTATTGTTCCTTTAACAGTACCTTGGTGTAAAAAGAAAGCCTGCAAGCCAGTTAGGTTACAAACTTTAAACTTGCAGAGGTCAGCATACCAGGAGTCTGAATTGGGAGCTAACCAAGGCTATGAAACTGAAATGAGGAAACAGAGTCAGGAATCAAAACTAGAGTAATATGGATATATAGGCCAAGAGTCACACCAACAAATACAACATACAGGAGCGTCATTTCTACCAAGTGTAGTCAGAATACTCACTAACCTGAGAACTGTCTGAAATTCAAAGTGAATTTCAAAAGTAAGGCCAAATAGCTGAACTGGTGTGATTCGGCTACTTCTTCGTTAAATTTCCAAGTTTCCTTGAATTCCTGACAATTTTTAATTTAGTGAACAACCCTGTTTGTGTGCTCTATATGCAAAATTAGCACAATCTGGCATTGCCCCCTATATGTAACAGAATAAGTGGGCAATATGAAAACATGAGAAATGTTGCAATATGGGGGCAATAAATTACTGGATAATTTTACTTGTGTATTATATCATTTGCAAGACCACCAACAAATGCCACTGGTGCCACCCAGAGTTAAATGGGATGGAGGGGCGCACACGAACAATGAGCAGGTCCGCCTGGTGTGAATGCACGCTAGGGTCCCTGCCAATCACTTAGGTTGACCCACTGAGGACAGACCATGCAGGGTAACACAGTTTCAGTGATACAGACCTAGTGCCCTTAGCATAGCGCAAGCGTGTCTGTTGATGAGCTCACTCTATGCTTTTTTAGGGTATAGTTTCCTTGTGTCCCCAAAAGAGGGATACCAGGGAACAAACCCGGGACAACAGGACAGGACCCTTAAATCAGGATTGTCCCGCTAAAATCAAGATGTTTGGAAGGCCTGTCACTAATCAGTTACTAATTTTTTTTTTTTTAGTTCTGTAAGCAAGAATCAACAAAGCGGTAATTTAAAAATTTATATGTTGTCATGAAAAAATTTATTTTCAAAATCAAAAACCCTCCCAAAATATTCTGGTGGTGATTCATTTCCAAATCATTTGCTCACTAAAAAAGTAAACCCCCCTCAACACTGCAATCGGGTATAAACATTTTCATTTATCAGTATTTTGCTGTATGAAATCTACCGTAGTCCATAAAGCCTCACTCACCCTCATTTATACCTGAGTTATGATTACAAGCCTGTAGAGCAGTGGTTTTTAAATCAGTACTCAAGACCCACCAACAGTCCAGGTTTTGTTAGTATCTCCATTGCATAAATCCTGGACTGTTGGTGGGCCATGAGGACTGTTTTGAGAACCACTGCTGTAGAGGAATGGATTTCTGTGCCAGAAGCTAATAACTAGGTCACTTTTATAGTGCCTTTAAATTTGCTGAAAATGTTAACTCTTCCCCTGTTTGCAAACAGCAAAGGGGTTTTCAATGGGTCATATCATTCTGACAGTTAGGGAGTGGTGAGTTCTACCATTTCACTGTCAGCATTCTATTAACATTCCACATATTGATAAAGGTTACTAAAGCAGTTTTAAATACTTTTTTGAAATATGTGATTTAGTGTATGCAGGTATTCTTTTTATGTTCTGTTGCAATTTTCAGCAAGCTATCCTGCTAGTAATTGCTTCAAGGTCCTTCCAAATACCCATAAGCAATGTATTTGACCATTTTTATTCATCTATTTTTGTCTCAACTTCTGTATGTGAGAAAAATTGCATTTTTGCTCTTACACTGACATTTCAGACCTCGTGTGAAATATTGTAAGATCAAGGACACTTTATAATGCCTAAAGTGTTTAATTTCCCAAATATATATATATATATATATATATATATATATATATTCTTTTTTTAAAAGGCTGAACAAACAAGTGAAAAATAAAAATGATGTCAATTTACATAATTGAAATGTTAACATTTGTCTGAAAAGCTATATATACATAAAATCGCTGTGTTATATATGTTCGGATGCTAGCTATGCATACTTTGCTTAAAATACATGTAATGCAAATTTTTTTTTCCAATCAAAAAGTATTCGAAAAGTGATTGCATTGATAAAGTCACAAGAATTTGAAATTTGGATAAAATCCCAGTATATATTTAGTATGGCATATTTATCATTTTGGCATAACTTCCAACATTCAGATGAGTTAAACTAAAGCCACTGAGTAAACAACTCTGCATGATCAGTTTGTGCTTAAACAGAGCAAATCATTTTTCTGGTTTTCATGGTGGTAGAACAACATTTTGTACGAGATGACCTCACCAACAATCTAAATGCCTTTCCTGTTCTGAAGATCTATCTATCGTTTGGCCGAAGAGTCCCTCAATGGGTGACATCTACACATTCGTCTGAACAGCTCTCAAAACTCCTTTTAATCTTTGTCTTATACGCACCCATATTATTTTCCTAGAATTTTTTTTATTTAATCTCCTTTGTATTTGAACTTCAATTACAATTGTTTAAAATGTTGTATTTAACTTTATAATTATAGTGTTATTTTTTTTCTTTTGTTATTATGAACGAACTTAAAAGGACATTGTTCACCTTTCAACATCAGAAGGTGTCTTTCATGTTCCCATGCTTGTAAAGCCTACAGGGTAGTGCTGAGCATAGATCGTCTTTAATCACTGAATCTTAATTGTAAAAAGTAAAAGCTTGCGTATATACAAGTAGATCTCCTAATGCACAAAGTACCATTAATGGGAAATATAGTTTTATGCAGAGCTTGGTGGTAGGCTGTGTGAGTGTGTAATTTGCCCAAAGATTTACTCTCGTACACATGTTGGTTAATATGAGCTTTATGAATTGGCAAAACTTATAAATCAGAATCCTGATTTTACTTTCTATGAAGATTAAGAGATTGGACAGGATAAAGACGAATGTGGGTGGGATGTTAAGAGAAGGAGTGGAAGTGGATGATAAAAGCTCAAGTAATAAGCTCTTAATGTTTGTGACTGTGTGAAAAAGAGAAAATAACCCCAAAATTAGACACATTGAGAAAGGGTAAACGTTTACTAGCATGCCTTATGGGAAGGTCCCACTCAGGATATCTTAAACAAGTTGTAGCTTACTTAAAGGGACATTATAGTCACCAGAACAACTACAACTCAATGGTGGCCATGTTTACATTGCTACTTAGGGACACCTTCAGTGGCCACTCCTCAGATGACTACTAGAGATGCTTCCTGGGTCAGTGCTGCACGTTCAGCGTCTCCATGCTCTGCTTGAATACAAGTGTTTGTTTCTAATGCTATAGTCTCCTACCAACTGCTTAGGGGTCAATCCTCCGTGTCTTATGAAAAAAATAAAGCTAATTTATTAGCTTTTAGCCTTCATTGCTCTGCTCAATGCCTTTAGTGGGCCTATAAATGAAATAAAAACAAAAGTGTATGGGACTGTTCCCACCAATATGAACAGTCGAGAACAGACACACAGGCAAGTCCTGTTTATTTGACTTGAAAATTATTTGTGATTTAGTTTATTTTGGCCTCGATCTATTATTGTTGGATAAGCTTTTAAATTGAATACAAATACAAAAAGAAAAGTCCTGCGCTCACTCCCATCACTCCTGCGTGGCAGCAACGACCACAGTACACATCAGCTCCAATACATATAGTAAAAACCAAAGATAAAAAGTTACCTGCGCTCTCTCCTTAATCCCTATGTATATTTAAACAAATGGAGGTCATTTAGTTACTCCAATGGCCACTGGAGGGAATGCCTACCTGCCAACGTCAAGGCAGACTCCCCTAGATGGGTCCTACTCTGACCCTTCACCTTGCTTCCTTGAGCTTCTGGCAAAGATATCTCTAATGAGAGAGAGAGTGGTATTTTTTATATACACCCCTATATACTTACATACTTATTAACCCTTAATAGGGAACACATGGGATGGGCGGTAGCATTGTAACTTACCTGTGTGATACAAAAAGTGAATACAAATACAAAAATTTGTATTTGTATTCACTTTTTGTATCACACAGCTAGGTTACAATGCTGCCGCCCATCCCATCTGTTCCCTATTAAGGGTTAATAAGTATATAGGGGTGTATATAAAAAATACCCCTTTCTGTCTCATTAGAGATATCTTTGCCAGAAGATCAAGGAAGCAAGGTGAAGGGTCAGAGTAGGACCCGTCTAGGAGGGTCTGACTTGACCTTGGCAGGTGGGCATTCCTTCCAGCGGCCATTGAAGCAACTAAATTACCTCCATTTGTTTAAATATACATAGGGATTAAGGAGAGAGCGCAAGCTTTTAAATTGATTTCATATTTTTTGGATTCATTTTGTAATATTTTGATAGCTTTTGATATATTGAGAGAGAGACTTTTTAAATGATTTATCTACACAAATTCCCATAGACTTTAGATGTGACTTCTGCAGATAAATCTTGAAAATGTTGTGATCATTCATGATGCTGATTCAAGCAAATTAATTAAATAAAGAAAGGCCTTGATGTTTAGGTGACATCTAGTGGCCTGTAGGAGAACATCAATGTATTAAAAACTTTTAAAAAGAAATAACTAACACAGAAAATTTATTGGATCACCCCTTTTACGGGCAGACCAACTCCTGTTTGGCCCCCTCCTTGCAAATGGATATGGTTCTGAACAATGAACGATTATCAGTATTAATATGTACTGGTAACACTTTGGGGAACACTCTTTTGGTAACATTTTGGGTAACATGTCAGTTTTAGTATTTTGGTCTTAAATTTACAATTCCCTGCTGATTTCCTGACAATACAGGTTTAAGTAAGTAACCCTTTCAGTATTTCATGCAACTTGTTTCATAAAAATAAGCTTTAAAGGGACACTATAGTCACCAGAACAACTACAGCTTAATGTAGTTGTTTTGGTGAGTATAACCTGTCCCTGTAGGCTTTTCAATGTAAACGCTGCCTTTTCAGAAAAAAGACAGTGTTTACATTGGTGCCTAGTAACACCTCTAGTGGCAGTCACTGCTTCCTGGGTCAGTGACGGGATGGGGAGGGGCAACAAGCAGAGGCAGAGGGACACTATTGTTCCTTTAACAGTACCTTGGTGTAAAAAGAAAGCCTGCAAGCCAGTTAGGTTACAAACTTTAAACTTGCAGAGGTCAGCATACCAGGAGTCTGAATTGGGAGCTAACCAAGGCTATGAAACTGAAATGAGGAAACAGAGTCAGGAATCAAAACTAGAGTAATATGGATATATAGGCCAAGAGTCACACCAACAAATACAACATACAGGAGCGTCATTTCTACCAAGTGTAGTCAGAATACTCACTAACCTGAGAACTGTCTGAAATTCAAAGTGAATTTCAAAAGTAAGGCCAAATAGCTGAACTGGTGTGATTCGGCTACTTCTTCGTTAAATTTCCAAGTTTCCTTGAATTCCTGACAATTTTTAATTTAGTGAACAACCCTGTTTGTGTGCTCTATATGCAAAATTAGCACAATCTGGCATTGCCCCCTATATGTAACAGAATAAGTGGGCAATATGAAAACATGAGAAATGTTGCAATATGGGGGCAATAAATTACTGGATAATTTTACTTGTGTATTATATCATTTGCAAGACCACCAACAAATGCCACTGGTGCCACCCAGAGTTAAATGGGATGGAGGGGCGCACACGAACAATGAGCAGGTCCGCCTGGTGTGAATGCACGCTAGGGTCCCTGCCAATCACTTAGGTTGACCCACTGAGGACAGACCATGCAGGGTAACACAGTTTCAGTGATACAGACCTAGTGCCCTTAGCATAGCGCAAGCGTGTCTGTTGATGAGCTCACTCTATGCTTTTTTAGGGTATAGTTTCCTTGTGTCCCCAAAAGAGGGATACCAGGGAACAAACCCGGGACAACAGGACAGGACCCTTAAATCAGGATTGTCCCGCTAAAATCAAGATGTTTGGAAGGCCTGTCACTAATCAGTTACTAATTTTTTTTTTTTTAGTTCTGTAAGCAAGAATCAACAAAGCGGTAATTTAAAAATTTATATGTTGTCATGAAAAAATTTATTTTCAAAATCAAAAACCCTCCCAAAATATTCTGGTGGTGATTCATTTCCAAATCATTTGCTCACTAAAAAAGTAAACCCCCCTCAACACTGCAATCGGGTATAAACATTTTCATTTATCAGTATTTTGCTGTATGAAATCTACCGTAGTCCATAAAGCCTCACTCACCCTCATTTATACCTGAGTTATGATTACAAGCCTGTAGAGCAGTGGTTTTTAAATCAGTACTCAAGACCCACCAACAGTCCAGGTTTTGTTAGTATCTCCATTGCATAAATCCTGGACTGTTGGTGGGCCATGAGGACTGTTTTGAGAACCACTGCTGTAGAGGAATGGATTTCTGTGCCAGAAGCTAATAACTAGGTCACTTTTATAGTGCCTTTAAATTTGCTGAAAATGTTAACTCTTCCCCTGTTTGCAAACAGCAAAGGGGTTTTCAATGGGTCATATCATTCTGACAGTTAGGGAGTGGTGAGTTCTACCATTTCACTGTCAGCATTCTATTAACATTCCACATATTGATAAAGGTTACTAAAGCAGTTTTAAATACTTTTTTGAAATATGTGATTTAGTGTATGCAGGTATTCTTTTTATGTTCTGTTGCAATTTTCAGCAAGCTATCCTGCTAGTAATTGCTTCAAGGTCCTTCCAAATACCCATAAGCAATGTATTTGACCATTTTTATTCATCTATTTTTGTCTCAACTTCTGTATGTGAGAAAAATTGCATTTTTGCTCTTACACTGACATTTCAGACCTCGTGTGAAATATTGTAAGATCAAGGACACTTTATAATGCCTAAAGTGTTTAATTTCCCAAATATATATATATATATATATATATATATATATATATTTCTTTTTTTAAAAGGCTGAACAAACAAGTGAAAAATAAAAATGATGTCAATTTACATAATTGAAATGTTAACATTTGTCTGAAAAGCTATATATACATAAAATCGCTGTGTTATATATGTTCGGATGCTAGCTATGCATACTTTGCTTAAAATACATGTAATGCAAATTTTTTTTTCCAATCAAAAAGTATTCGAAAAGTGATTGCATTGATAAAGTCACAAGAATTTGAAATTTGGATAAAATCCCAGTATATATTTAGTATGGCATATTTATCATTTTGGCATAACTTCCAACATTCAGATGAGTTAAACTAAAGCCACTGAGTAAACAACTCTGCATGATCAGTTTGTGCTTAAACAGAGCAAATCATTTTTCTGGTTTTCATGGTGGTAGAACAACATTTTGTACGAGATGACCTCACCAACAATCTAAATGCCTTTCCTGTTCTGAAGATCTATCTATCGTTTGGCCGAAGAGTCCCTCAATGGGTGACATCTACACATTCGTCTGAACAGCTCTCAAAACTCCTTTTAATCTTTGTCTTATACGCACCCATATTATTTTCCTAGAATTTTTTTTATTTAATCTCCTTTGTATTTGAACTTCAATTACAATTGTTTAAAATGTTGTATTTAACTTTATAATTATAGTGTTATTTTTTTTCTTTTGTTATTATGAACGAACTTAAAAGGACATTGTTCACCTTTCAACATCAGAAGGTGTCTTTCATGTTCCCATGCATGTAAAGCCTACAGGGTAGTGCTGAGCATAGATCGTCTTTAATCACTGAATCTTAATTGTAAAAAGTAAAAGCTTGCGTATATACAAGTAGATCTCCTAATGCACAAAGTACCATTAATGGGAAATATAGTTTTATGCAGAGCTTGGTGGTCGGCTGTGTGAGTGTGTAATTTGCCCAAAGATTTACTCTCGTACACATGTTGGTTAATATGAGCTTTATGAATTGGCAAAACTTATAAATCAGAATCCTGATTTTACTTTCTATGAAGATTAAGAGATTGGACAGGATAAAGACGAATGTGGGTGGGATGTTAAGAGAAGGAGTGGAAGTGGATGATAAAAGCTCAAGTAATAAGCTCTTAATGTTTGTGACTGTGTGAAAAAGAGAAAATAACCCCAAAATTAGACACATTGAGAAAGGGTAAACGTTTACTAGCATGCCTTATGGGAAGGTCCCACTCAGGATATCTTAAACAAGTTGTAGCTTACTTAAAGGGACATTATAGTCACCAGAACAACTACAACTCAATGGTGGCCATGTTTACATTGCTACTTAGGGACACCTTCAGTGGCCACTCCTCAGATGACTACTAGAGATGCTTCCTGGGTCAGTGCTGCACGTTCAGCGTCTCCATGCTCTGCTTGAATACAAGTGTTTGTTTCTAATGCTATAGTCTCCTACCAACTGCTTAGGGGTCAATCCTCCGTGTCTTATGAAAAAAATAAAGCTAATTTATTAGCTTTTAGCCTTCATTGCTCTGCTCAATGCCTTTAGTGGGCCTATAAATGAAATAAAAACAAAAGTGTATGGGACTGTTCCCACCAATATGAACAGTCGAGAACAGACACACAGGCAAGTCCTGTTTATTTGACTTGAAAATTATTTGTGATTTAGTTTATTTTGGCCTCGATCTATTATTGTTGGATAAGCTTTTAAATTGAATACAAATACAAAAAGAAAAGTCCTGCGCTCACTCCCATCACTCCTGCGTGGCAGCAACGACCACAGTACACATCAGCTCCAATACATATAGTAAAAACCAAAGATAAAAAGTTACCTGCGCTCTCTCCTTAATCCCTATGTATATTTAAACAAATGGAGGTCATTTAGTTACTCCAATGGCCACTGGAGGGAATGCCTACCTGCCAACGTCAAGGCAGACTCCCCTAGATGGGTCCTACTCTGACCCTTCACCTTGCTTCCTTGAGCTTCTGGCAAAGATATCTCTAATGAGAGAGAGAGTGGTATTTTTTATATACACCCCTATATACTTACATACTTATTAACCCTTAATAGGGAACACATGGGATGGGCGGTAGCATTGTAACTTACCTGTGTGATACAAAAAGTGAATACAAATACAAAAATTTGTATTTGTATTCACTTTTTGTATCACACAGCTAGGTTACAATGCTGCCGCCCATCCCATCTGTTCCCTATTAAGGGTTAATAAGTATATAGGGGTGTATATAAAAAATACCCCTTTCTGTCTCATTAGAGATATCTTTGCCAGAAGATCAAGGAAGCAAGGTGAAGGGTCAGAGTAGGACCCGTCTAGGAGGGTCTGACTTGACCTTGGCAGGTGGGCATTCCTTCCAGCGGCCATTGAAGCAACTAAATTACCTCCATTTGTTTAAATATACATAGGGATTAAGGAGAGAGCGCAAGCTTTTAAATTGATTTCATATTTTTTGGATTCATTTTGTAATATTTTGATAGCTTTTGATATATTGAGAGAGAGACTTTTTAAATGATTTATCTACACAAATTCCCATAGACTTTAGATGTGACTTCTGCAGATAAATCTTGAAAATGTTGTGATCATTCATGATGCTGATTCAAGCAAATTAATTAAATAAAGAAAGGCCTTGATGTTTAGGTGACATCTAGTGGCCTGTAGGAGAACATCAATGTATTAAAAACTTTTAAAAAGAAATAACTAACACAGAAAATTTATTGGATCACCCCTTTTACGGGCAGACCAACTCCTGTTTGGCCCCCTCCTTGCAAATGGATATGGTTCTGAACAATGAACGATTATCAGTATTAATATGTACTGGTAACACTTTGGGGAACACTCTTTTGGTAACATTTTGGGTAACATGTTCTGGTAACATTGTGAGCAGTATGTATTGGTAACATTGTGGGCAGTGTGTACTGGTAACATTGTGGGCAGTGTGTATTGGTAACATTGTGGGCAGTGTGTACTGGTAACATTGTGGGCAGTGTGTATTGGTAACATTGTGGGCAGTATGTATTGGTAACATTGTTATGGGCTATATGTATTGGTAACATTGTGGGCAGTGTGCATTGGTAACATTGTGAGCAGTGTGTATTGGTAACATTGTGGGCAGTATGTATTGGTAACATTGTGAGCAGTATGTGTTGTAACATCGTGAGCAGTATGTATTGGTAACATTGTGAGCAGTGTGTATTGGTAACATTGTGAGCAGTATGTATTGGTAACATTGTGGGCAGTATGTATTGGTAACATTGTGCGCAGTGTGTATTGGTAACATTGTGGGCAGTATGTATTGGTAACATTGTGAGCAGTGTGTATTGGTAACATTGTGGGCAGTGTATATTGGTAACATTGTGGGCAGTGTGTACTGGTAACATTGTGGGGAGTATGTATTGGTAACATTGTGGGCAGTATGTATTGGTAACATTGTTATGGGCTATATGTATTGGTAACATTGTGGGCAGTATGTATTGGTAACATTGTGGGCAGTGTGTATTGGTAACATTGTGGGCAGTGTGTATTGGTAACATTGTGGGCAGTGTGTATTGGTAACATAGTGGGGAGTGTGTATTGGTAACATTGTGGGGAGTATGTATTGGTAACATTGTGCGCAGTGTGTATTGGTAACATTGTGGGCAGTATGTATTGGTAACATTGTTATGGGCTATATGTATTGGTAACATTGTGAGCGGTGTGTATTGGTAACATTGTGGGCAGTATGTATTGGTAACATTGTGGGCAGTGTGTATTGGTAACATTGTGGGCAGTATGTATTGGTAACATTGTTATGGGCTATATGTATTGGTAACATTGTGAGCAGTGTGTATTGGTAACATTGTGGGCAGTATGTATTCGTAACATTGTGGGCAGTGTGTATTGGTAACATTGAGCTTGCACACACCATAACAATTAAGCAACGCTGATTTTTCTTGAAATGATCCATTTCTATTTTGCCCTGTTTTTCTTTAGATACAGTTGGGGAAAACTGACAAAATAGAATTTGTAAATTTTAGGCAAAAATTGCTGAGATGCTGATTTTTTTAAGACTATTTTTGCTTAAATTGTGCAATTTTTTTTTTCTTAATTCTCTGAATGTATTGCCTGTATGAATAAACCCCTCCATTGTTTTAAAGTAAACCCTGCACCTTTTAATCCTTTTAACTTGCCTGTGTTATTTCTTTTATGTGTAAGAATTGTTTGAGTTCAGGTTTAATACAATTGGTTATTTTTTGTCATGTGTATTCTGTGTTTTCACCACTAGAGGGCTGTTTCTCTATAAATGTAAAACTGAAATTATTCTGCAAAGGTAAAATATAGATTATATATAGATATAGACTCTATATGTCAATTATTGAGCTGTGTTATTGAACCACATCCTGTAACAACCATTTCAAAGCACACAAGGGGCCAGATATTGAATAGCTGTCTTCCTCATACGTAAGAGAATTCTGGGGAAAATGACAGCTGCTCATTTTTATAACATGTAGGTGATGTCCAACCAGAAGACCCCACACATCACATCATAAACACACTTATAAAATATTGTCAGCTGAAACATTTAGGGGCAGAAAAATAGTATAAATACTTTGAAGATACATTTACCAACATTGCATAAACTGATATCAAAGATATATTGTACTTTAAATTAATCTGGTAGCTCCATCAGATGAGTTGAGTGTATTTGATGGCTGTATTATACCGCATTGCCATATAAATGTGCTCTGGACTCCTAGATTTTGCTGGTGGATATCTCAGCATTACTTGGGTAGACCCAGCCAAGATGGTGGCAGGAGCACTCGAAGTGGTAGAGGTTAACACAGTAAAGGAGTTGAATCATGCGTGGGATAGGCATAAGGCTATCCTAACTATAAGATAAGACTAGGGACTAATGAAAGTATTTAGAAAATTAGGCAGACTAGATGGGCCGAATGGTTCTTATCTGCCGTCACATTCTATGTTTCTATGTTTCGATGCAATATACGTTAAGCACCAAACCACTTAAATCATCTGTTAACTCTAAAGAAGCGATATGCATCATCGGTAGACTCGATATGCGTCATCGTTACTCCCGGCGCTTCTTGTGTTCAGATATGTGGCCTTTTTTTAACCTTTTTATGTTCCTACATTTGTCTATACCTATGTGGTCTGACCCCTGTCATGTATGATTAATGTTCTTTTGAATCACCTTTCATGGAAATTCCTTGTGAAGCTTTGTTGGATGCTAAATGAGTGCTGTTGAAGTTGTTTTGCTTTAGTCCGCTGTAGTGGTTATGGTTTTAGCATACACCATAACTGGATATATTTGTACTGTGGAAGCCAGGAAAATTTATACTGTAAAAGTTGGGTGTACTTTCTACTATATATGGAGGGGTTGTTCCACCGGTGCCTGGAGACCGTTGGTTTGTGTCAAATAACACAAAAGCAGTTGGACACAAAACCAGGGGATGGCACCAGGGGGATGTTGGCTCCATAACCAAGGGGTTTAATGGCTGTGTTACGAGGCAACAAATAAGGGATTTGCTTAACCCTCACCATTCAGATGTAAAAGAGGTTATGGGTGTGTGATGACTCTTATAATTTAAAGCAGGGTTCTCCAAACTCTGGTCCTCCAGATGTTGCTGAACTAGAACCCCCAATGATTCTTTTGAGTTAAATAGATAGCAATAGAGTTTTGGGGATCATGCTTTAAAGGGACACTATAGTCACCTGAACAACTTTAGCTTAATGAAGCAGTTTTGGTGTATAGAACATGCCCCTGCAGCCTCACTGCTCATTATTCTGCCATTTAGGAGTTAAATCCCTTTTGTTTATGAACCCTAGTCACACCTCCCTGCATGTGACTTGCACAGCCTTCCATAAACACTTCCTGTAAAGAGAGCCCTATTTAGGCTTTCTTTATTGCAAGTTCTGTTTAATTAAGATTTTCTTATTCCCTGCTATGTTAATAGCTTGCTAGACCCTGCAAGAGCCTCCTGTAAAGTTCAATTTAGAGATTGAGATACAATTATTTAAGGTAAATTACATCTGTTTGAAAGTGAAACCAGTTTTTTTTTTTTTCATGCAGGCTCTGTCAATCATAGCCAGGGGAGGTGTGGCTAGGGCTGCATAAACAGAAACAAAGTGATTGAACTCCTAAATGACAGTGAATTGAGCAGTGAAATTGCAGGGGAATGATCTATACACTAAAACTACTTTATTTAGCTAAAGTAATTTAGGTGACTATAGTGTTCCTTTAACCCCTTAAGGACACATGACATGTGTGACATGTCATGATTCCCTTTTATTCCAGAAGTCTGGTCCTTAAGGGGTTAAAGGAACACTGTAGCATTCGTAATATATATCTGTATTCCTAACGCTACAGTCTTGATGTCCCTAGCTAGTTCAGGGCCGCCCCACATGTTTAGAAACAAAAAAAATGATCTCCTTTTCTCCAGTGTCTCCAGTATGATGGCCCAGTCCAATACTCCTCATGGAGGAGCATTTGGGAATGTAGGCACATTGAAAGCAGTACACATATGGGCTACTTTCGGAGATGTTATTGGCTCCGCTATATATACTCCAACCCATCAGTACCAGGTGAACAACTGTAAAATGCCAGACTCAGAAAAGCTTCATCCCTATTAACTGAAAATATGCCTAATGAACATCTGGCTTCCTCTGCAAACATCACATTTAGAAACATGGCCGCATTAGGTCATTATTAATTTATGTGATGCCGTATTGTACTTTTCCTGAACTTAATGATGTCGAGAAAGAAGCTCTGTAATGCCAAATCAAGTTAGGGTTGATCTTGCGTCACCAGATCTGGCGATGAGTTTGAGCAATATTACTACAATTAATCTCAGAGCTACAATGTAATTATATGTCCGAGATAAAAAATGGCCACTTGTTTTACAAATGTGATAAGTTGATTTGAAAAATATGTAAGATACGTATTGTCTTAAAGGAATGTTTCACAGACGTAACCTCTATATTATGATATTACAATTTTTTTACCCCAACCCCTTGAAAATGGTTTAAAAAATTTAGGGAGCGCACCCATAGCAAATAATAACTACTGTATTACAATGCACTGCAGTGGTTATGGTGCTTGGGGTGTCACTTTAGTTTTCTTTTTTTTAAAGGATTTATTTAATTAGATCTCTCTGATTTATGCTTGAGTTGCAGTATGTACAACATATGTAAGATTTTGTTTGTTGATTCATTTTTTCGGATGGAGTTTGCAAATCCTATAATGATGACAAGTTGCTTTTTGAGATGATGTAGTCTGTTACTAGGGGGTTTGGCTGGTCTAGAGCGCATAACTTGAGCTTGGGGCTCAGTGTTTTTTCCAGACAGATCTGTTGAAATGTCTATTCATGGTGACAAGCCTTCAAAGAAATCACATCTTCAAATGTCCGTCATTAGACTTCTTTTCGTGCTGGCCAGTGACCTGGAATACAAATGTCTGGAGTGTTCTCGGCTAATCCAGCCTGCCTTCCCCTCTTCGGGCACATTCTACATCTTTAGTATAATGAGCAGGCTGTGGGGTTTGCATTCCAGTGGGTGCTATATACTGCACTGGCCTATATCAATTGCTTACATCTGCCTATCTTGCAATATCAAGCGACTACAACTTTATTTAAAGAGATACTCCAATCATATCTAGAGGACGCTGTACTGGTTATGAATGTATGCTGGCCCTGCTTCATGGTAATGGGGCAAATCGTTTTGCAACAGTTTGCCCTCTTACCTGGGTCCCAGCCATGCACAGAGTATCCTTACAGCTCTGGTGATGTTCATGCGGCTTCTATTGTGAAATATGCTGTTCTTTATTTATAACGTTAGTTTATTCACACTATCTTATCGTCTCTCTCTACAAATCATGCATAATGTGTGGTCTGGTCATGATGTGTGCTGGCATCTTTCAACCAACCATTTTTCTTAAAGGAACACCACAGCATTGGGTATACAAATTTGTATTCCTAAAGCTATATTGCCCTAGTCCCTATTTAGAATAGAAATCCACTTTGCAGCCTAAATTATTACTTACAATTCTGTTAAAAATACATCTACAGCATTTTAGATCTGCAGAACCCATAGATACAATTTAAATGGTTCAAGCACAATAAAAGGAATGAATGCAGCCGTATTTAGTATCAAGACAGGAGCTTCCGTCGAATTTAACTAGGAATTAAGGCCTCTAGTAGTTTTTCTGGTTCCAAACACCCACAAAGTCTGGTTACAGGTTCTTAAACCAGAGACACTCACTCCCATTATTTCATTATACTGTTGTCCACTGGTTCATTTCAGCAATTAAAGAGGATAGTAGTATAGCTGGAAAATATAATGTGATATTTTATTACTGCAAAAACTCATGTATAAAATATACACCCCTGTGACACAACGTGTAAACATTACATCAGCATTAGTCCATATTGTTTTCTCCGTCTGCCCGGAGAACCTTATTTGACTGGCAAATTAATCTCGTGGTTAAGTACACTTTCCAGGAGGCTTCCTGCTGCACTTGACTAGGTCATGTTAAAGCGAGATACACAATGGTGGAGATCTGTGCATCGCAGCATCAGCGGACAGCAAGCCTGCTCTTACTGAGTCATTGCATTTCAGATATCATAGCTTGCTTGAGCAGCGCAGCTTCTCTTGTAAGTGGCTAAACACACTGTCTGGGATGGGAACTGCAATATACAAGCTATCTAGCAAGATCAAAGTCCAGGTCAAGAAATCGAAATCCTCAGGTATGTAGGTTTATTGATAATTGCCTTAAATTAACCATCACATACGGTAATACATAATGATGGCCATAATGAGTGTCTGTGTCTTTGGGGTAATAATGTCTGGGGCATCTGATATGAAATCTAGAATGCCTACGTGACGGTGTAAGGAAAGATATTAGGAAATAGTGGCTTCCGATTCCGAATTGATCAGCCAAAGATTTTGTTTTGTTCATTGTCCTGTCATTGTGACCAGTCAGTATTTATGTAGACGTAATACTTTCTTGTTGAAAACACAAAACACAGTTGTGTGAGTTTTCCTTTAATTTGCGGTGTGATTTTAGAATTGTGTTAATGTTATTTCTTTAAGTACATAATCTCTTTATGCTTTGAAATTCACTGTTTGGGTCGTTAGGAATGTGTTGCTTAATGAAAGAATTGACACTGTAGCTCTTGGATCAGATACAATGATACAATTCATTATCCCAGATTAACGTATAGCTTTACTTAAGACCCCCTCTGTTTTGATGGGACGGCCACACCGTAATATGATGTTTGATTTTTACATTTTGATACATTAGGAAACTTTCCATTTATTTCTATACACTTTGCTATCTGAAGATATATATATATATATTTATCATTGTTAAGTTTACATCATTATGCTTGAATATACTTATAAATCTCTTGAAAACTGAAATATGCATAATCATTGTGATCTGCTCTGCGTCTCTCTCGTTCATCCTATATGATATAACGATTCATACACCACGCTAAATTATAAATGAGAGACATGGCAGTGATGTGCGCTAAATGGACTTCCTGATTTTATTACGAGCATTGGGTTTCTGTGTACGTGGGATAGTAGCCTTGTGAAATTTAAAGTGTACGTGTCATGGGAAAATATAACTTACTCTTAAATGAAAGAGAATTCTGTTTCATCTTTACTTTGCATTAGAAGAAATGCTAAAAATATATCTTTTTAAAATCAGAACTGGTTATAGGCTGTTAAACAAACAGAACAGAGCTAACAGAATAGGGTTATCATAGGCCAGGCTTCCCTAAACTCCGGCCCTCCAGATGTTGCTGAACTACAAATCCCATGATTCTATGAATGAAATGGATAGGCTGAGAATCATGGGAGTTGTAGTTTAGCAACATCTGGAGGGCCGGAGTTTGGGGAAGCCTGTTATAGGCCAGGGCTAAGCAACCTTCAGCATTCCTGATGCTGTGGACTACATCTCTCATAATGCTCCTACAGCCATAATGCTGGTAAAGCATCAGGTGAGATGTAGTCTAAGGTTGCCTACCCCTGGCCTATGATAGCCCTGTGCTGTTGGGTCTCAGTTGCTTTCAGTGTTTTCTATCGTACATGTGTGTTAGTGAAATACATTTCCTCTGTGAGACCCTCCTAGGTCATCTCTTATGTAAGTGAGATCAGCGTTTATAATAAGCATTACAGGGAATGGTACAAATGAAATTGAGTAATCCCATAACTGATGATTCCATATGCCCAAAGAATAATAGAGAATGTGTCAGCTCTTATAAACAGCATTTCTGAACTTCAAAAACTTGGTCAGATAAAGATGGCTTGCAAGTGTTCATACCCACTGGATGAGAAGAATCCCACTTTCACTGGGCTGTAGAGACTAGCCTTTTCATTTAAAAAAAAAAATAAATGTATATGAAGTTGGGTGAGACAACATTTATGTTATATAGACTGCTGTTCAGGGATATAAAAAATAAATAAATATATACCGTATATACTTGTGTATAAGCCAACTTTTTCAGCACATTTTTTATGCTGAAAAAGCCTCCCTCGTCTCCGGTGCAATGCGGGTGTTCTCCGGTCTCTCAGTGAGGAATGTGGATGTGCACTGGCCGCCGCCATTTTGAGGCACTAAATACCCCATGCCACCTCAGGACATTATGGCCCACAGATTGGTGGTAGGTATCAGGGACTGCAGTGGTGGTGATCCCCTCACCCCCCGTTCCAGAGGGGAGATAAACGAGCTCTCAATCCAGCCTGCAGGGTCCTGCCATATGTATTATATATTTAGTTAACTATTTTAGTTCACCCTTTTTTGTTTGAAGCTATCCACAATATATGTAACATCTTAAGAGGTGTCAGGTGCCAGAAGATGGCAGATGGCAGAATTAAAGGAGATGTTCCTTCATCAGGTCTCCTTCACAAATGAGATTGCATGCAGGAGAGAAGCAGAGGTTTCTGGCAATGTAGAAGACAATCCCTCTCCATGTCAAGGAGTAGAAGGATTTTATGTTAACAGAATGTCTGGGGCTATCAGGTCATCATTACGGGGTATGAAACCAGTATGATCATCTTGGGCTAGGGGAACAGGTATGTGACTGATTGATAGTTAACTTTTTGTGAATGTTCTCGCGTATATAATGTAGACAATATCCGCTTGATACATTCAGGAACGTCCCTACCCACTTACAAAAACAACTCTTGTAGATAAAATGCTCTTCAAGAGGATGAGGAGATTCCTTGAGGGAAAACGTTGATAGGATAGACTGGATGAGGTTTGTTTTTTGTAAGCAACCTGGCCCAGATTTTCAATGTATAGTGCAGTCTCATACAGGTTGATAGCTTGACTGACTTTAATTGATGGTTCATTGTAACATGTGTTACCAATATTCACCCCTATCAGTGATGTATTTTAATGTTGTTCCATGGATTGGTTGGGTTAGTCAGAGCTGTACATCATTGCTGTGTTAGAGGCACGTATCTATTGTATTATTTCCAGGCACACGTTGGCCTTGCTTTCCCATGTGACCTGGATCAGTCAGCTAACCCAGCAGCAATGACGTACATGCTCAGAACTCAGAATCTGTTGGTAGTGAGGCTAATCAACAATACCTTCCCTCATCCCATGTTAAATCTGGGCCGTTTTGAAATCAGACTTCAATGTAGCATCTTTGGATATATTGAAACATTATATATTTAAATGATGCAATGTTTGTTTATAAACCCATTTCCGGTACACTGTCATTAAAAGGAACACTTGTGATTTTTCCAGAACATAAAAACCTACATTATTAATAAGTAGGATTTAAAGACGAAAGATATCCATGGATGCAGAACATATAAAAGTATATATAACGTATATAAAAATTAGCTTCATCATCAGCAACAAGCCTGGAATCACTTTAAAAATATATATATAAATAATAATTTCACCATAAAGGATGAAAAGTTTGCTGTAATATGCGTTTATTGAACTTGCATAAATATTGTCTGCTAATTCACAAGCGAGAAAAGAATTTACATCTCTAAATCAAACAGAGACAATCCAGGGTTAGTAAGCAGCTGGTTACTAAGATTGCAGTCTGTGCCATGTGTTTGCTGGTACTCCGCTAAAGCATGCTGCTTATATTTCATGGAAAGCCTGTGTATATTAAATTTGCTTACAGTTTGATCAGAGTGTTATGTGTTTACATAGCTAAATGTAATTAATCTTAAAGGGACACTATAGTCCCCAGAACAACTACAGCTTAATGTAGTTGTTCTGGTGAGTATAATCATTCCCTGCAGGCATTTCCATCTAAACACTGCCTTTTTTAGAGAAAATGCAGTATTTACTTTGCCCCCTAGGGATGCATACAGTGGTCACTCCTCAGATGGCTGCCGGAGGTGCTTCCTGGGTCAGTGCTGCACAATGTGCAGCACTTCCGTTCAGCATCATGGAGACACTGAATTTTCCTCATAGAGATGCACTGAATCCCGCCTCCTTGCCGATGTCAGCCAATCCAATGCTTTCCCATAGGAAGTCCCTCTAGGAGCTGTACGACTGCTACTAGAGGTGTCTTAGGGATCAGTGTAAACACTGCACAGAAAGGACCGTGTTTACAGTGCAGAGACAGGACCTTTGCACCAAAACCTTTAGGTTGTATTGCATAGAGTTCTCTTCAAAGGAAATACACACAGGCAGAGAGAAGCATCATCATTATTCATAAGGAATATATGGATATTTAAATCAAATGAAAAATTATACTTTGATAAAAGTATTTTCAGTTTTGAAAATATCCTATTAACCTGTACTTTTCTCTTCACCTGCAGATTGTAAATACACGTGTCATTCTCACTGCAAAGACAAAGTACACCTGAACTGTGAACCGAATGTGAAATTAATGGAATGTATACCTACTTATGAACCGCTGGACAATTCCAACAACAACAATGAAAAGGTACAAATTATAAAGTGTAGTCTCTATATATTACGGGTCTTTTCCAATGTTCTTGAGTGTTCATTTCAGAAAAAAATACCTTTGTGTCCCTGTGCTATACGTTTGAGTTTTTTGGGGGTTTGTTTTTAAATCACAAATGAGGCATTGTGTAATGTTTTTACAATTAATGCTCAATTCGTTTTCCTGAAATCGCTTGATCGATATTGGAAACAGGTGGTATGTCTAAAATCTGAACATTTTTATTTATCTGCAGTTGCAATCTGCATAAGAACCCAAGCAACATATGGACATATGCGGGAATACATGCTACAAAAAAAGTATTATTGTTTTGTGCAGTATATTTCTTTAGTTGTGTGCAATGTAGGGCAACCACAAATATGCCAATTTGCTTTCCCAGCCAAATGATAATAAATTGTGGATTTAATATAGAGGTCTTGTAAAACCCCTCATTGGTCTATATCCCCTTTAAGGCGGAACAAAGATATTGTTCTGCACAGACGCGCTTGGTTCAACCCTGAATCTCTATGCTGTATGCTTTCTGTAGGTGAAAAGGTAAACTACAGGAATTATTTGCAGGCTGTAATAAAAGCTTGTACAGTGCCGCATGAAACAGGTGATTTGTGTAGAAGTACCCTATGCATATAGACTTTATTGCCCCTGTTAAATTCTTGTAGCATTCCAGTTAAGGTGCACTCCTAAAACTAAAATTTTTTGGTAAGCAAGGTATTTCACCATGGACATTTATTTTGTTAATTGTAAATGGCAAAAGGGCAATTCTAGTTCTTTGTTAATATCTCAAACCCTCTTGAAATAAATAAGGAAAAACAAATACATTCAATTTTAAAATGGTGAATATTTACATACTTTTTTGGAGCGGGGGGGCACTTACTATTATTTGATAAATTAGAATGTTACTATATGTTGGGAAAGGGTTAAATATCCAATCACTGCTTCATATTGCTGAATTGTATTATGATGCCGAAGACCTTGGAAGTATTCAAGCGGGAAATAGTGCATCAGCCTTGTGATTAGCAATTCTTACTTCAAAATGATCAATAGCCACAGAAATAAACAGTTAATTGCTTTAAGAGTACTGCTAGCTCCATACATCATTCTCCTTCAGCCAAGGTCAAAATGTTTCTCATAAACAGAGCTTTACAATGAGAGTCATAACAAAGAACTAAAAGGGAGAGTGTGTGTTGTGTGTCTGTGTGTCGTGTATAGTGCATTCATATCTTAGCCTACTCTTACCATTTTGGTGCCCGGGGCCAGTAAAGTGTGTGGGTCTTGTCATCCATGCTAACACAAACACAAAGTTCGGCTTCATACAATGGGCCTAGACTAACTAGAATAGTGAGGAGCGATACAATAGCACAGCTTCATATAAAGCCTTTGATCAATTGCGTGAATAGCGCAAGCGCATACGATATGTGGTGATCTCAGGGTGATGTCTATTTGAAGCGGTTTTGTACATTGTACGTCAATGATCTTACAGTGGAAAATTGTTTAATAGAGTCTAAATAAAAAGAGAAGAAGTTTTGTCTTTGACATGTTGGAGGTCTACGTGTTGGATTCAGCCTCATATACCTACAGATACATACTGACACACACACATACAGACATACTACCACACAAACAGACACATTTGCACATGCAGACAGGCATATTTGCACATGTAGACATATACTATCATACAGATACATTTGCACATGCAGAAGCATACTATCATACAGACACACACTCATTTTTACAGACACAGACTTACACTAATACAGACACAGATTTACACTAATGCACATACAGAAAATCACTAATACACACAGTCATGCACAGACTCATACTAACATACATACAGGAACCCTTGTACATACCGATGCACTCCCCATGTTATCCCCTTTACCCTGTGCATTCCTAGTTGCCTTTAGTTTCTCTCTCTCTCTGTACATTTCCCTAATCCTTCTTCCCGTTTTACTTTCTTCCCTTTTCCTTTATTTCACTCTGCGGAGGCTGCTTTCAGTCCTGTTGGAGCATCTGGCCAGCAGGAATCTCATTAGGTGCTTGCTCACACAGAGAATGAAAGCATGGGCATCTTCTCACACATGTCTCTCAGCTGTAGACTGTCAATGCAAAGCACATCCCAGCCCTCATGGTGCACTGTGTGAATTAATCTGCTTACAGCTGCTTGCATGCTAATACAAGCACAGGCCTGCAAGCTGATTAACCTGCACAGTGCATCATGAGGACAGTGCAGCTGAAAAGGCAGTGTTGACATGAAAATGCCTGAAGGGAGCTATTATACTCACCAGAACAACTACATTAAGCTGTAGTTGCTCTGGTGACTATAGTTTCCCTTTAAACTGCTCAAAATGGTTTAACACTGGATGGAGGGACAGTGCCAGAGGACTCAAGGCACAATAACCAATGTATTGGGATAAAATGGATCCAGTGGCTACAATGTCCTAAGTAAATAGTGGGGGGGGTGAAATTGCCTCCTTGTTCCTCTGGTGCTTAATGGGTTAAACCTATCTTTTTGCCTGTCTAATTCCTCCAAAAGGATATTTGTTTGTTTTTTTACTTTGAACCAATTAATGTTCCTATCAATTTAACACATTTTATAGCACTCTTCTTGTGCTCACACCTGTTGCTTTTGGCTACTCCTACTAAGTCGAATTAAAGTTTTGGCAGTGATTAGTTAACAGGACTTGCCCTCAGTTTCCTGTCTACTTCCAGCAATTATCCTTCTGTCAAATGTCCAGTTCATCAGATTGGAGCAAAGCCTGGTGTCTCGGGTAAGCTGATTGAGGACGTTAATCGGCTCATTTTCCATTTCTGTTCTTCTCTAGCTCTTTACGCTGTTTTTGGAATCAGAGTAAATATGTTTATATCCTGCGACATTTTGTCGAGGTGATTGTGTGGGCCTATAGTAACACCATAGAGTAACATTTCCCATCACAGCCCACAATATCAACAGTGCTGATTACATTTCTAATCTATGAATGTCATTAGGCTTTACATAGGTTGGTAATGAAAAACCGTCTCTACTAAAGGTGGAAAGTTCTCGAATACTAAAGGCTTTTAAATTAACTTCTTCTTGGAACATAAAATCACACCATTTCCAACAGCTGTATATTGTTATAACGATAACCACATTTCCCATACGTCCAAGAGACGAGTAGTTACCCATTCCTCTCTCACAGGACAGGTAGCAGTGAAAAATATAAAGGAACCTTCCATTGTAGTTCTGCCCAGTTCCTGGTGTCATGGGTGATCGCTGTGATGATTCTCTTACTAAGCTGAGTTTAGAAATGAGTCTAAGTACCTCAAATCTTTTGTACGTGACCTTAATAACGTGTCCTGCCATTTGGACACACCTCTAGTCACATACCATATACTCTACATCCTTTGACCATTTGGAACGTTGGGAGGTGTGCCTCTATGTTGTCCAATAATGCACTGTTATGTTCACACCATCACAAGGTATAGGCGTATCAACTTGTAGATGTGTGAATGCATGTAGTGTGCCTAAATGTAGCATTTGTCAGCACAACCGACTTATTAACATCAGATATTGCTAATTCCCTCACAGTATGTAATAACTAGCTAGCATGGCACTAACATAATGCCACCTATAATATACATATGTACTCTATATGTGTTGTCATGTGTTTGACTGTGAAATACGCCCCAGTATCAGCTATTCCAAGTTTCAATTGTAAAACAGCAAGCCTATTATTTAATATTCATATATTTACAGTGTTTATAGTGTTATACTGCCACCTTGAGTTCAATGCCAATATATCATCATTCACATATATTTAACTCACAGCCTCTGCTGTTTGTTGTGGATTTAAATGCGCGTGTTCGCCCATAAATGTGAGCATGTCATGTGGGCACGCATGTGTGTCAAGATGATGATTAGCCCAGCAGGCCAGCCAATCAGAGTTGCCCGTTTACTGATAGCTGTTGAAGCACATGCATGTGGACTTAAATGCTGTCTTGCTGTAATTTGAATTTTATAATCAGCAGTCAAGTGGTTGTTGCAGAACTTACAAACTGTTTTATTGATTAAAACCTTTATTTCATATTCAGCAGCCATTACGCCAGTTCGGTGTTTGTAGGGTCAAAAATCACCAGGGCTTGAACCCAAAAATAATTTGGTAACCCTTCCTAAAACCCCAATAACTAGAAAGGGAATTTTGGAGACCCCATTCTTTAATAGGGGCCCACCCAGGACTCAGTAAGTCCTCTCTCCCGATGCCCCTGCATTATGTATATGTTTTATGAGGAATATTAAAAGGACAGCCTAGAAAACAAATATTTTAATTTTCATATTAAAATATTATTTTTTTGAAAATCAAGGTTTTTATTGAGGATAACATGAAAAGGTATAAAGTATTGCATTTACAAAACAAAATATATAAAATAAAATATATCAGACGCACAGGGCCAGGTAATATCAGGATAAAAACTGACCACACAGGGTCACATCTGGGTGGAATAACTGCGCAGCCATACCCCTAATAACATGTCTGAATATTATACTTCTTCGGGGTGCAGTAAAAATGAGACATATAGGTACTTCACAGCAAATGGTGGTTGTATCCCGTACTCCCGCGTTCCCCTAAACTGGGAATATCAATATCAAAATATTGTGTCTCGATGATAAATAGAGGCATAAAATGAAAATAATGTGAGTCACCCTTCATAGCTAAAACCCTTCACGCCAATCCCCAGCTTCCAAACAGTCAGAGCATATCAAAGTATATATGTATTGTAAATCTGCCTATCTATAACCCATACACAATTTATTGCAACATTTCCATTGAGACAATGAATCAATCTAAAAACACACATAGTTAGACTCTACTTTCCTGATGCAGGTAGGTGGAAAGTTTTGTTTTAAATAGATTTTTGTTCTCTCTCTCTGAATGGCATTTATATGTTTATGTGACTATGCTTATTGTCATAACAGTAGTTTTTTTTTTTCTTTACAAGGTAGATGGCAAGTAAGTTGTTTTTTTTCCAATAGCTGTATATTGCCAATCTTAACTGTTGCGCCATGATATGATTTCAAAGGGTGGGATTATTTAATTTAAAAAAATCTCAAATCTCTTTGTGATAATTCCTGCTCGCACAATGCATTGTTGAAATGCTGTTGTCTTTAAACTAGGCATATCTTGTATGTACCATGACAGGGACACCTTAATAATTGTATATTGGTGTTGGTACGATTATACGTGTGTGGTAATCTTCATTGCAGCTTTAGTGGAAGCTTTGCATAAGCATTATTGACGGCATAAAATCCGGATCTAACTATAACACCCGCAGGAACACTTATAAGTCATATTAGCATACAATGCCCACAACAGGAGCGCAGGATTAGGGGGGATATAAGGAGATTTGTGAGGCTCTCGTGTTAGTCTGAGTACTTCTGAGAAGCAACATTTAGTGTAGAGTTATTTTATTTGGATTTATTGATTTAAAAACATTTAATTAATAAGAGCTTTGTCAGAAAACTAGGCATACATGATTTTTTTTTTAACTCTTAATGGTCTTAACATGGATGTGGGTACCTTGGGATTTAAGTAAGTTTGTGAGTGTATGAATTATTCATGTTACGGTGCAGTTTAGGCATATTTGAGGATAAAACTGGACAAAGTGAGACATTTTTAGCTGTGATTTTGCAGAATTCACAATTTCTTTTTCATGCACTCATGATGCATTTGTAATACAATATATAAAATATATATTTTTCTTTCTTAATTTTAACTTCTTGATCACACAATATTAGTTACGTTAAATTGTAAATTTAAATGCTTCAAACGTGTGAGCCCATATTGTTTAAAATTATTATTTTTCCAACAACTTTTCTCATTGTTTTAAAGGAAAACTATAGGGCCAGGACCAAAAACATTTATCCCTAACCCTATAGTGTTAAAACCACCATCAAGCCCAGTGATGGCTAACCTTGACACCATAAATCGTTTCTGGACTACATTTCCCATGATGCTCAGCTAGCTTTTAGAGTCTAAAAGCTTGCTGAACATCATGGGAAATGTAGTCCAGAAACAATTTATGGTGTCGTGGTTAGACATCAATGATCTAGCTCCCACCTTGTATTCCTAAATATAGTATAATCTTACCTTTAGTCCAGTCTGCTACTGCTGGCTCTGCCCTGATCTGCATGCTTGGCTGACATCATCAGAAGTGTTGATCAAAAGCCAACCACAATGCTTTCTTATAAGAAAGCACTGGATTGGCTGAGCTTGTCAAAGAGGCAGATCATGGGCAGAGCCAGCACAAGCCAAACACAGCCCTGGACAATCAGCATCTCCTCATGAATTGAATCAATGCATCTCCACGAGGAAAGTTCAGTGTCTGCATGCAGAGGGTGGATACACTGAATGTCAGCATGGTCCCAGGAAGCACCTCTAGTAGCCATCTGAGGAGTGGCCAGTGAAGTTATCACTAGGCTGTAATGTAAACATTGCATTTTCTCTGAAAAGACAGTGTTTACAGCAAAAAGCATGAAGGTAATGATTCTACTCACCAGAACAAATTTAATAAGATGTAGTTGTTCTGGTGACTATTGGGTCCCTTTAACAATATTCAGACGTTTGCGTTTAATACACCCCCTGCCAAGAAAGGCTTTATAGAAAACAAGGGGGTTGCGCCTATACACTCATAGCAGCATAGCCACAGTGAACAGGCAGTGTATATTTTGTATTTCCCTGAAACACTGCATTATTCATCCCTACGTATGTGCCTTCTAGCTGATTTTTGTTTTGTTTTTTAACCTTTACTATCTGTCTGAAACTAACTAGCACAGGCATAGTGCAAAATGTTATTGGCCTTAACTTATATCATTTTTATGACCGCATATGTGGATTTCATTAGGTAATATGACCAGCTATAAAGTGGGAGCTTAAAAATTGCACCCTATAAATTCCATTAATTTAACCTTTGAATAAATATAGCAGTATTTTTATTTAGCTTTGACTCTTTTTAATGGAATGCAGAACGCAACTGTCGTTCTCTTTATAAGCGGGTGTAAAACTCCCATCACTGCCACAAAGTATTTATTAGAAATGGGTTGAGTGTTTGATCATAGAAGGGACGAACTTGACTGTGAATTGAATGGTGCTGGCTATGGCTATGGGGCATGAGATTGTCATTGGAATCCGAGTGTGTTTAAAAGCACAACCTTCAGACGTTTGACACATTTCCTTCCTCTCATTATTCTTATACGGGACCAAGCTTGTGTAAACACACGGCTGATGTAAGCTTTGTTCTAGATCTGCCTGTGATGATTTCACTTTTCGATCAGATAACATGACTTTGTCCAGTACTGGTAAATATGTTATGAATATTCAGGCATAGAAAGACTTCTTATTTCCTTATACCCATAACCTGCAGTTTTGACAGAGAAAGCCCCAAATTTAGTATTTACACTCTACCAAAGCTCAATCTCTATTTTTCATAGGGTCTGTACAAAATAATTTGACCCAACACAGAAAACACAGTAATGCATTGATAAGTGTGTACACATGAGTAATTCTGTTGACACGGGAATGGCCGGGGGAAGGGGTTGGAGTATCAGGAACAAGGGGTAAAGAAACAAAGAACAGTTTCAAGTAGTCAGCAGGTGTTTAAAGGGCTCCAGGTGAGCTGCCGTAAAAGCAACAAATTATATTTTATTTTAAATAAATCACATGGAATGTTCCATCTATTTCAGAGGGGTTTCCACCAGGGCTGCAGTCACTAAGAATTTACGTTGCCAGTCTCCTACGCCCCTGCGCTCTTCCTGTCCTGCTCAGACAGGTGTCTGATTTGTGCCCCTAGTTATAGTCAGTAACACAGCCCCCCTGTCAATCTCAGCAGTCCCATCTCTCTGTCAGTACCCCCTTCTGTCTTCAATATCTATTCCTGTCCTCAAATCCGACTCAATATCTGCTCTAATTAGTTTACTCTTCTCTGATTAGCCCTCTGACCTGAAGAGCCCTCACATCCTATTACCTACATTGTCCTCACTGGTCCTGCTCCGGTCTTCAATAGCCTTCCTCTCCTCTCAGTAATCCTCCCCTCTATTTATTCATTAACCCCCAATCTCTGTATTTTCCGAATAATCCCTATCTCTTTCATATGTACCAAATAACTATTCCCTCCGTACTGAGTGTTGCTGAATGATTATACTAATGCAAGTGAAAACATGAGATAAAATGCATTTTGTATTTTTTTTTATTTATTTTTTTAGCAGTTTAGCCAGTATAACATATTAATTCATTGGGAAAAGAAAAGTACACACATGGCTTCTCCATTTTGGGTTTATTTTTGTTAAAGGACCACTATAGGCGCCTAGACCACTTCAGGTTAATGAAGTGGTCTGGGTGCCAGGTCCAGCTAGGGTTAACCCTTTTTTCTATAAACATAGCAGTTTCAGAGAAGCTGCTATGTTTACATTAGGGTTAATCCAGCCTCCAGTGGCTGTCTCATTGACAGCCGCTAGAGGCGCTTGCATGCTTCTCACTGTGATTTTCACAGTGAGAGGACGCCAGCGTCCATTGGAAAGCATTGTGAATGCTTTCCTATGAGACTGTCTGAATGCGCGCGCAGCTCTTGCCGCACATGTGCATTCAGCCAAGGAGGAGCAGAGTTCCCCGCCCGGCGCTGGAGAAAGAGATAAGTTTAACCTCTTCTTTACCCTAGAGCCTGGTGGGAGGGGGACCCTGAGGGTGAGGGCACCCTCAGGGCACTATAGTGGTCTTTTAAATAAATCATGACACAGTGTAATATGCCATGTGTTCACTTGAGGTTGTAGTTACCTAATTCTAAGACCGTCTAAGGAACACATGATTGTTATGTTCTGATATGTAAAAACAAAGAGGGTGTACTTTCTTTTCTTATTAATATATATATAAATATATATATATATTTATTATTATTATTATTAATTTTATTTTTTTTCTTCTTCTCAGGGTTAGGGGCTCATAAAAAAATAGAAAATAATAAAACAATGTGAATTTGTTGCGAACACCACCTCCTCATGCTATTAATATTGCAATCACTGTATATTTTGATAGAAGGTACTTCAACTATGACAGAACTGGCAGGCAAAGCAATAGATCGGCTGAATTCTTTCCCCCTTCAGAGATAAACACAGCATTATCCCACACAATATGTTTTTGAATGTAAAAACAAAATCCCTTTAAAAGACCACTTGAAGCACCATAACCACTGTAACTCAGGTTTGACTTCTTACTTGAGGTCAGACGCATGCCACTCCCTGCCTCCACTTCTTCTGACAGAGAGGCTAAGCCTGGTGGTGCAGTGCTTAACTCCTTGGCTAAGAGTGATCATCTGACACTCTCAGCCAGTGAGTTAGTCCTGCATTGCAGGGCTTCGTTCTGGAGAGATAATAGAGGGAGGAAGTGACGCCTTGAGGACCCAAGGTAAGAAATCAAGCTGTTCTAAAGAGCTTTGACTATTTACTATAGTGCTGTAGTGGTTATGGTGCTTGGAATAAAAAAATGCATATATTATAATCTAAAAATAAATACATTGCACTGACCAAAATTGGGATAGGTCTGCTGCATCCAGTACAGTTAGAAGGGTAGGTTATGGTGTATGGAGAGTCCCTCCTCACCATTAAATGGCTGCCTGCCTGCCTGCTTTATGACATGCATTCTTTAGCAATCCTAAACCAATGAATCTAAAAAGCAATAAAGATTTTTCAAAGAAACCGTGAAGGAATAGGGCACTAATTTCATACTGGTCTTCCTCAAGCCTTAGATTTTATAAAAAATAAGGAAAAAAACCATCATAAATATCTGGTAGTAAGGAAATTCAGGGCATTCATTAACTTCAAGTCAATTGTCAACCAAATTGCAATATTTGGGTCTGTGTAGTGGAGCTGCAAATGTAATAAACACAAAGATATTTTTCAAAGCGGGTTTTGCTTTTTTACTACAATTGACTGTTTAGTGAAAAACTCTAAAGTGGAATTGTTACCGGGTAACACTGAAGAAGCCAACATTTATACCCCCTGCACAGCAAAGGCTTCTGTGCAGCTTCATGGTGAGTTCTGAAAGCAGTCCTAAAAACATTCTGTTCAGACCTTCAAGTACTGAATAGGACATTGCCTTACAACAGGACATTCCATTGCATGCTACCGTGACAGCGAATGGGTTAAACCTAGCAGGGGACAGAGTGACACTGAAAATATGTGACTGCTATGACATTTGAAATGTACGTATTTATTGTGAAGGTTTATAATGGATTGACATGTACTGACGCTCTCTTGCTGCTCAGTGGGGACACCTCATGATCAGTGAGGTGGAACTAGTAAACATTTGACTATAATCACTACAGATACTCTCCTGTGTGTGTCCCATCCGTGGTGTGTTTTTGCATGTAGCTGTTTTGTTTCTCTCTCACCCCCCACCCCCTCCCTTTTTTCTTTCCTTTACTCTAGTAAGTACTGCCGGTGGATGGCTATGACATTATCACAAATGATATAAATTTATATGATTATCTTCAAACATTATATTACAAATCTCATACACTGAGCTGATTTAAATAATAAATGAAAGTAGCACTATGGTGTCATGAATAAAAACATGTATTCCTGACTCTAAAGTGCTGTTGTGATTGTGTGACTAAGTGTTTACTAAAAAAGACTAAACATACCCCACTTTCAGTACCTTGGGTTGTCTACTTTTTCAAATGGTATGCCATTATGGGGGTAATTCTCATTCCTGGGCTACCACACCGTCTCAAAGGTAACACTACTAATCTGGCAAATTTCAATTTGAAAATGGAATGTTCTATATTTGACCCTGTAACTTTCCAAAACACCATAAAACCTGTTAATGGGGGGTACTGTTGTACTCGTGAGACATCGCTGATTACAAATATGTGCTTTTTCTTGCAGTAAAACCTAACAGTATTATGACATTCACAGCTAAAATGTCAGACGGAAATACAAATTTTTAAAATCTTATTTTCTCACATTTTTTTAAAATTTTATTCATAATACATTATGTTCCATATATGAATAGTTAATGATGAATTAAAGCCCTGTTTGTCCTGAACAAAACGATATATAATAAGTGTGGGTGCACTTAATGTGACAGCGGTGAATTACAGTTGAACAGACATAGCGCAAATTCTAGTTTTTGCTTACGTTTTGTTTTGATCAGAACGTGCACTATTGACTCCGTCCTGAAGGAGTTAAAGTAACACTGTAGCATTAGGAATAAAAACGTGTATTTCTAACACTATAGTGCTACTGTCCTTTATTTATAAAATATTTTACCAGGAAGGATACATTGAGATTTCTCTTGTTTTCAAGTATATGATGGGAGGGGTCTATCGTTATTTTTTGCATATTTAAAATGTATTATTAATACATATATAGTGAATGAGGGGGCAGTATTGCTTAAATTTCTTTAGACTTCCAAATAGCAGAGAGAGAGTGTAGAGATCTCCCACTTTGTTGTGAAATGCTGCCTACATATTACACCATAGTGCATTACCCTACAGGTTCAAGGCTGTGCTATAGGAATAACATGTACCAGTTACGTTAATGATTAATCCCCGATAGTGGAGATCCTTTTCAAGCCGTTTCTGGATGCATAATGCTAATTATGGATGCTAATTTTACCTGGTTAGACATCTCTGCTACATGAATTACTGAAAGTGATCTAATTTTCATCTTTTTCTTTGCTTTTTCAATTTTCTTAAAATCTGATTGAAATAACTAAAAAAGGAAGACCATGTTAAGAGAACACTCTCTAATGTTAACGTGTTAAAACATCTGGGGTGTGGGGGTGACAAAAAAGAAAAAACCCCATTAAATTGACCTGTTATCCAGGAATCGGACAAGTCTCTTTTCTACAGCTGCATGGCCTTCGATTAAAGGACCACTATAGTGCCAGGAAAACATACTCGTTTTCTGGCACTATAGTGCCCTGAGGGTGCCCCCACCCTCAGGGCCCCCCTCCCGCCGGGCTCTGGAAAGGGGAAAGGGGTAAAAACGTACCTTTCTCCAGCGCTGGGCGGAGAGCTCTCCTCCTCCGATCCTCCTTCTCTCCTCCCCGTCAATGAGACAGCCACTAGAGGAAATAGGGGAAGGCTTAACCCATTCACAAACATAGCAGTTTCTCTGAAACTGCTATGTTTATGAAAAAATGGGTTAACCCTAGCTGGACCTGGCACCCAGACCACTTCATTAAGCAGTAATCATCGCACTCCGCCACTAAAATGCTTCTCACAGTGATTGGGTGGTACCACCAAGCAGCCAATCAGAATATAGCTTCCATTTAAGTTTTTTTATTTTTCTATCAGCATTTTACTGACTCTCTAAATAAAACAATCTCTCTCTCTTTCTCTCTCTACTTTCTCTAAAAAGTTTTTTTTATTTTTTCATGCTACCATAAAAATCACAGCAGGCAGGTGATAATGTTTACAGAAGCGAGGGATCGTATCTTAGTGTGCAATTATATAAATAATCTATAGAAAAGTCAGATACTGCCCTAGTAACGTCTAAGTAACACATGATCCGTTAAGCTTGACATTGTATGTATATCCAGAGAGCAGCAGAACGGTTATAGAGACTGTTCCATTGCAGCAGCAAACCTTGCATTTATTTCACTAGGATTTATTTTTTCTGCACTAAAAATGTTTGGTATGGTCCCTAGTCAATTATTTATGAAAACCATATGTTTAATGTGTTTTACTTGATAAGTATTGCTAAGACTTTACATTTATCAGAGTTAAAGCGGAGGGAGTAGCTATAATTAAACTATAGTCACCTAAATTACTTTAGCTAAATAAAGCAGTTTTAGTGTATAGATCATTCCCCTGCAATTTCACTGCTCAATTCACTGTCATTTAGGAGTTAAATCACTTTGTTTCTGTTTATGCAGCCCTAGCCACACCTCCCCTGGCTATGATTGACAGAGCCTGCATGAAAAAAAAACTGGTTTCACTTTCAAACAGATGTAATTTACCTTAAATAATTGTATCTCAATCTCTAAATTGAACTTTAATCACATACAGGAGGCTCTTGCAGGGACTAGCAAGCTATTAACATAGCAGGGGATAAGAAAATCTTAATTAAACAGAACTTGCAATAAAGAAAGCCTAAATAGGGCTCTCTTTACAGGAAGTATTTATGGAAGGCTGTGCAAGTCACATGCAGGGAGGTGTGACTAGGGTTCATAAACAAAGGGATTTAACTCCTAAATGGCAGAGGATTGAGCAGTGAGGCTGCAGGGGCATGTTCTATACACCAAAACTGCCTCATTAAGCTAAAGTTGTTCAGGTGACTATAGTGTCCCTTTAACATGTACTCTGGTTTTAAATGAACACTGTAATTAAAATTACTAAAAAGAAAATACACTTGCTGTAAGAGAAATTTAGAACACATATCATCTTTATAGTCTCTGTGGGGAGATTAATTAATGTGTCCCAGAATAATAGGCACTTTTTAAATATTTGTTTTTGCCTGGAATCATCAATTTTGACACTATATATTACTTTTGCAAAATTTCTGGATTCTTTGGAAGCATTAATTTTGTCTATCACATTTTATCTGTAAACATATTTTTTTGCAGCAGGAAAGTATTTTATTTTCTGACATAATCTGACTACTTTTATCTTCAGAATTCTCACTGAAAATCCCCCCATTATTCTTAGTGGGACAGAGGTGTAAAAATGTGCCCAAATATATAAATAGGTGACACTCTCTTGATACTACTTTATATAACTAACAAATTGAACAGATTTTTAAACGTTACAAAAAAGACAAAATTCTGAACATTTTGATAAATCCGACCAGTGTACTTTAATATTTACATGCCGGATTTTACGTAATATAGGACGCAGTCTTATAACAAAACTTGGGGTAAAAAAACTGCCTGTGTGCTATGTTTAAAGTGTCAGCCGGCGCAATGTCTGGGTGATAGGAGCTACTAGCATGCTGCGGTAGGGAATCTTTTTTTAATCCTCTATCTGGACATTCATTTCTTCTAAATCTCTAGTTAAAATGTATGTGTGCGTCTTGTAAACCGCAAAATATGGTACTATATATAAAATCACTCTTCTATTTGTGATAAGCACTTATGCAATTTGCTATAAACACTGTATCACAGTATTAAAGGCTGTCTACCTGTCGAGATCTGATACAGAATAAATTGTCGACAGAGTGCACAAAGTGCGTTCGGACCGCAATACTTTGTCTTCATTTGGGTAAGTAGTGCTTTTGGCAGAGGGTAACATGAATTAGTCATGCCGAAGGAGGGAAAACGACAGGTTTACCTCAAAAAATGCACCAAAAAAAAAAGCACACACAATAAAAAGAAAAAGGTTTATTGTAAAATTTAAATTCAGTTACAGGATTCTTTAAATGTTTTTTTTCCTATGTAGGTGGCTTTGTTGAGTCACCTCTCATACGTGGTTGTAAAACAGATACCATTTAATAGAGGTACACCCAGTTGTGTAGGTAAAGTGGATTTCACAAGAGAAATGTTAAAGATACATGGTGGTGTTCAAATCTATTACATACTGCCTGAGATCTTATCACATATGTAATCTGAGTGCTTAAACCAGGGTTAAGTACCAGCATGACTGCAAGTTCAGGGTGAAATGGTGTCCACAATTAAGGAGGCTCTGTCACACATACAACCTTCTCCCGTCCAAAATTAGTATTTGATAAAGATAAAATCTCTATGAAATACATGGACTGTGTTGGGATTTCACTGAAATTCCAACATAGTCAAACAATATATTTAGACAGAGTAGGGAATACTTTGTTGTAGGAATTTTCCTACATTTGACAAAAAGTTTAAGCTATATTTTTGTCAAGCCCCCAGCTGTCAAAGGGGACAGGTGCAAGGGACAAGTTCAGGTCAGTATAACGCACCTTCTCCTGCAGCCCTCATCCACTGTACTACCAACAGAGCAGTCCACATCGGGGATCTATAAAAAATGATCCAAAGACCCCAGACTGTGACGACCACGTTAAATGAAATTAGTTGACATAGTCCGGGTTATTCACTAAAATTAGAATTGAAAGTGAATCTCAATTTTTAAATTCGAAAGTAGCTGAACTGCAAGAATAGCCATCTCAGATAACTTTCCAGGTCAGCTGCATTGCCCTAAAAATGTTAAATTCACTTTGAATTCTCACTACAGTCAGGGCCGGCGCGTCCATAAGGCGGCACAGGCGGCCGCCTTAGGGCGCACCGGCCCGGGGGCGCAAATGTCCGGGTGACCGGCAGGAGGGAAGCGCACAGCTCCCCTCTCCTGCCGGTCACTTCTTGTAGCGTGGCCGAGCGCCAACCTGCAGTGCCGCGGACTGTGTGGAGGGGGCGGGGATATGAACGTCATATCCCTGCTCCCTCTGTAGCACACAGCGCGGCTGGCGCCCAGCAGGGGCGGAGCTACCACTGGCCCCCTTCTAATCAGCATGGGAGGAAGTCCTCCCAAGAAGACTACAGCAGCAAAAGGCAGAGAGGAGGGGGCTGGGCAGGACCAGCTCCTCCAACTCCCAACTACCTCAGGCAGCACTTTGGATCCCAGGTAAGCCCCCCTTCTGAACCTGTTGGTCAGTGTGTGTGTGTGTATCTATGTCTGTCAGTGTGTGTGTGTGTATCTATGTCTGTCAGTGTGTCTGTGTGTATCTATGTCTGTCAGTGTGTGTGTGTGTATCTATGTCTGTCAGTGTGTGTGTGTGTATGTCTGTCAGTGTGTCTGTCAGTGTGTATCTATGTCTGTCAGTGTGTGTGTGTGTATGTCTGTCAGTGTGTGTGTGTATCTATGTCTGTCAGTGTGTGTGTGTGTATGTCTGTCAGTGTGTCTGTGTGTATCTATGTCTGTCAGTGTGTGTGTGTATCTATGTCTGTCAGTGTGTGTGTGTATGTCTGTCAGTGTGTGTGTGTATCTATCTCTGTCAGTGTGTGTGTGTGTGTGTGTGTATGTCTGTCAGTGTGTGTGTATCTATGTCTGTCAGTGTGTGTGTGTGTATCCATGTCTGTCAGTGTGTGTGTATCTATGTCTGTCAGTGTGTGTGTGTGTATGTCTGTCAGTGTGTGTGTATCTATGTCTGTCAGTGTGTGTGTGTGTATGTATATGTCTCTGTCCATGTGTCTGTGTGTATCTAAATGTCTGTGTGTGTGTGTGTCTGTCTGTTAGTGTGTCTTTGTGTGTCTTCTTCCCTATCATTGTGTATGTGTGTCTGTATGTCACTGTGTGTTTATCTGTATGTCTGTCAGTGTTTGTGTGTACCTGTGTGTCTATCTGAATGGGTATCAGTTTGTGTATATGTATATCTGCATGTGTCAGTGTGTGTATCTTTGTGTATGTGTATCACAGTGTGTGCATGTGTGGCAGTGTATGTGTATCTGTGCATATATCTCAGCATTCAAACACAACACTACACACAAATAAACACCTGCATGCAAACGTCAACACTACATACAAACACACCTCTGTATCAGACACCAAAATTATATATAAACACACACCTGCGTTCAAAAACCAACACTACACATAAATGCATGCTTGCATTCAAATGCAAACACTACATACAAACACACCGCTACAATCATACAAACATACTCCATACAAACACATGCTTACAGTCAAACACACAAATACTGCTCCATGCTAAATACAATCCTGCAAGCATGGGGAATCGGTAGAGCCCCAGCTTTCAAAGCATTGTTGAAGTTGCACGACAGATGGGGATCTATCTTTTAGCCATCCTGTGTACATACACAGACCGTCATACAGAGACATACAGTATGTATGTCTCTGTATGACTGTGTAATGTATTCAAAAGGAATAAACGCAGGCAACACTCCAATAGTAAGGATGGTATATTTATTGATAGGTGAACCACCCCAAAGAAAGTGCGTCGTTTCGGCTCAGCAGAGCCTTATTGCATGAGCTGAAACATCACACTTTCTATGGGGTGGTTCACCTACCAATAAATATACCATCCTTACTATTGGAGTGTTGCCTGCGTTTATTCCTTTTGAAGACTTTACTGGTGGATCCAGCAATGTCTGCCTGACATGGAGCATCCACCTCTGTTGATGGCCGGAGCATTTACACGGTATCAGTGTGCAGGGTTCTTTGTTTGTTTGTCTGTGTATGTATGTCTCTGTATGCCTATCTCTGTTTCTTTATGTCTGTGTATGTATTTCTGTGAGTGCCTGTGTCTTTATGAATGTATGTCTGTGTTTGTACGATAATGTACCTATATGTGTAGATTGTATGACTGTGTTTGTTTGTGTGCCTTTTATGACTGTGTGTCTGTATATCTTTGTGACTGTGTGCCTGAAAAATTATGTCTGTGTGCTTGTATGGTTGTGTGTCTGTATGTTTGTGTATTTGTGCATGTATGTATTTTTGCCTGTATCTATGTCTATGTGGGAGAAAAAGAGAGATAGATAGGGGCTGGCGGGGAAGTAAGAAATACATAAGAGGGGTTGTAGGAGACACACTAAAGGGATATGCAACACTAATGGGGGTAAGAAATTCAAAAGGGGGCTACGAGACACAGAGGTGAAGATGCATTGTTTATTTTTTTGGGGGGGGCGTCAAAATGCATCTTCGCCTGTGTAGTCAAAAATCCTAGCACCGGCCCTGACTACAGTGTATAACCCTGGTTGGGTAGGATCTGTGTATTATTAGAGTGCAGGTGGTTCTGTAAATTCCAGAACATTTTTGACTTGCTTCAAACTAATGAAATGCTTGCCTTCACTGACTAAAGCAATACATGGTTCACGGCCTCCTTAAAGCCAGCAATTCTGAGAGTCTCCAGCTTTTTTTGCAAGTTTTCATGCTGTGCGTGCCGTGTTTCATAGCTTTTCTATCTTGTTATTTTTGCCATTTATTTTACACCTCATATCCCGCCAGACATAACCGTAGAAATCTGACAACAAAGCGTTATGTAGTCTGCATTCCTGGAGCACAGACAGCTGTGTATTCCTAAACTGAATTATCAAACCCTGCTAACGCTCGGAAATGGATAATACTTTAACTGACATAGCTATAGGCTAAAATGCAACAGAAAAATTTCAAGTCGAGAGGCAGGAACGGCCTATTTTGGGGAAAGCTCACATGCCAGCATCAACTCTCCACACTGAACGTCTACCTGGGCCGAGGGTCCTGAAGAGATTGCCTCGGCGGCATCAACCACACTGCAGGAAGACTGTCGGCCCCTGGCAGCGGCAGAACATCTGGGCCTCCCAATGCGCCGGTAAAGGGAAAGACTCTGCCTCCTGGAGCCGGCGAGTCTGTGGCCTACAGATGCCACCCTATATACAGACCTGGGCCTGGAGGGGGTCATCAACCCGCCCGCTTCACACCACGGCACTATGCAGTGCCGCGGCCCCTGTGACTCCTCAGCTGAGAATGGGCATTGACTGAAAACAGGAAAGCTGGGGTGTAAACTCTCTCTGCTCCCAACGAGCAGGTTATACATGTCTCTGCCACTGTTAGCCCCTATGGCCGCCACACCAGAGACACTCTGGGTTTACACAGGCTTAGGATATATGCTTGCGATAGGGTGCAGAGTCTCTTTTTAATGTCTATAACGTTATCCATGTCTACTCAGTTCAGTTTTAGCTTGTTTATCTTTAAAAAAAAAAAAAGAGGCATTACTATCTAGGAGATGTTATACTATGCGGTGATATCCCGGTCTTGTATACAAATCGTGCATTTCCCTTTCTTCATTCTGTAACCCTGAATCATTTGCCTTAAAAAAAGAAAGATTTTTTTTTTTTTAAAGAGTGGATAGCTGAGCCTGACATTCTCATCCAATACATGCCGACTGGATTGGCTTACGACTTCTGTAGATCTGCAGAAGCTGGAAACGCGCCACTGGAGCTGAAAGGGGTGCAGGAGCCTGGCAGGGACCCATGTAACAGGGCAAACAGATTGCTAAGTGCTTTGTCCCATTACCGGGCAGCTGAACTAGGGTACTCCTGGAATCATAACCACTAGAATGGCTGTGAATGTGATGGTTAAGATGCCTGGAGTAACCCTTTAACCCCTTAAGGACCAAACTTCTGGAATAAAAGGGAATCATGACATGTCACACATGTCATGTGTCCTTAAGGGGTTAAGGACAAAATAGTCAAACTAAACAGGAACCTATAGACCTGGAATATCGATGTGATCACAGTCCACCCCCCCCCCTTTTATGTGTAAAGTAAAGGTTAAATAAAGCCCACTTACCTTACTGCCAACCTCCGCTGCAGCATCCGTCAATATCCACATCCAAACTGATGTCACCCGGGCTTTCATCATTGGGGATAAGAACTACAAAACTACTGGACCCACAACACTTCATTGACATAAAGTGGTCTGGATGACTTTAGTTCTCCTTGAAAATAGTCATTGAGAATTTTTCTAATTCAGATTTTTTGGCTTAAATTTTTACATTATTTTTTTAATTCACTTTGAATCCCCAGCTTTTCTCACTTTTTAGTAAATAACCCTGATAACATGGAGGTGTAAATTCTGCATTATTAATATGGATGAGACTGGGGCATTCTCTGGGTTTGGAAGTTACCAAAAGCCCTGCCTTTTCACTTGGTAAAGTGGGCTATAGCTTAAAGCAGTTCTGTCATCACTAACTTACCTTTCTGCAATTATGTCCTCTTCTTTTAGAATCTGTTCTTCTTTTCTGATTCTATTTCTCTTCAAAAACATAAGACAGCTGGGCCAACCTGATTTTTCCTACGCTTGACAAATCTTGACAAAGGAAAAAGCATAAGGCAAGCTTCACTTCCTGCATTATTTTCCTGTAATACTCACCTTGCTATGGAGTCAATCCTCTGTAATATTGCGTGCAAATCTCTTGTTTCCCCGGTGCATTGAAGTGGGCATACCTGAGTTTAGAGAGGAGGGAAAGGTAAGGGCAGGTGAAGGCAGTGAGAGAATGTTTAAGCTGTCACCAGGTGGGAAGAGGATCTTGCGCCGACAACGAGAGGGGTTTTAGGTAAGAACTGGGGACGTGCCAAAAAAACAAATACCTTATACAGTGATGTATCAATGTTATTCTCTAATGGAAACGTGCAGTGTTGTAGTAAATTTAACAAAGTTCTTAAATCACGACAGTGCTGGAATCCATCACTTAATTTTGGGAGAATAATATTTGATTTTTCTGTCAAACACTAAATTTCACCCTTGAAGCTTGTTTGGAGGTAGGATAAACATTATGATCACCCGGTTTGTGTGTGCCTTGGGCATGCAGCTAGTTTGGGCTACTCAAAACCCTATAACAATGCAAAGAGAACAGCCATAGATATCATCCTGGTATCTCTTTGTCACACAACAACAGGTAATGCAGGTATTACAGAAGCTTTGCTTGTACTTGACATTGGAAGACTAGAAGTAAAATGTGGAAGCCCCTCTGGTTCAGAAGGTGTTGTTAACAGGCCAACAACCACCACCGGCAATCCATCTGTAGAGTGTATTTAGCTTTTTCAAGCCCCTCATCATCTCCTGTTCCAGGAAACCATACATTTGTTTGCCGTAAATGATCTGTATGCTCTGTTTATCCATGTTGGA